AAACGCCCCACTGTGGGTATCGGGTTTGCAAGCTCTTGAACGAATAACCTTAACAAGTGTATGTATGGTTACTGAAGTCGTTATGGCATATTTTAAAATTAATTTGAAATTATTTTTGCACATATTATTCAAAGGTAATAAAAACAAAACTGGATGCGTAAGGTCCTAAACACTGCAAGTGTAAGTTCCCAAACACTGCAAGCTTAACCTGCCAGCGTAAGATCTCAAACGCTGCAGCTTAAGGTCCCAAATACTGCAAACTGAAGGTCCCAAACTCTTCCAGCGTAAGGTCACAAACACTACAAGCGTAAGGTCTCAAACACTACAAGCGTAAGGTCTCAAACACTGCAAGCATAAGGTCCCAAACACTGCAAGAGTAAGGTCCCAAACTCTGCAAGCCTAAGGTCCTAAACACTGCAAGCTTAAGATCCCAAACACTGCAAGCTCATAGTCCAAAACACTGCAAGCTTAAGATCCCAAACACTGCAAACTGAAGGTCCCAAACGCTGAAAGCGTAAGGTCTCAAACACTGCAAGCATAAGGTCCCAAACACTGCAAGAGTAAGGTCCTAAGCTCTGCAAGCCTAAGGTCCTAAACACTGCAAGCTTAAGATCCCAAACACTGCAAGCTCATGGTCCAAAACACTGCAAGCTTAAGATCCCAAACACTGCAAACTGAAGGTCCCAAACACTACAAACTTAAGGTCCTAAACACTACAAACTTAAGGTCTCAAACACTGCAAGTGTAAGGTCCCAAACACTGCAAGCTTAATTTTCCAAACACTACAAACTTAAGGTCCTAAACACTACAAACTTAAGGTCTCAAACACTGCAAGTGTAAGGTCCCAAACACTGCAAGCTTAATTTTCCAAACACTACAAGCTTAAGGTCTAAACACTGCTAAGTGGCAATGGGATACCTAACGGAAAATATCGACGTTTTTCCCTGCTTCAAGATATTCCACTGTGACAACGTGTGGACATTCATGACTCAAACTGAAGCCTTTGTCTTAACATGTCAAGATACTATGTTGACATTCCAAGATAACATTAACTGGAATTTCAAAATAATTATGCTTAACCCAGTGGTCTAGAGGCCTATATGTACTTCACGAGTGGCATCCGTGAAGATCCTGGTTAGAATTGGTCTTCAGCAATCCAGGCTCGCTGACTTGGTTGACACATGTCATCATATTCCAATTACGAATATAGATAATCATAATGTCAATCATCTGTGTGGTACAGACTCGATTTTTTTAAAGACCGCCACCGTATGACTGAAATATCGCTCAGTCCGGCATTAAACAACAAACTCACAAAGCGAGCAGGCTGTCTTATCCAGTCATTCGTGAACTTCGAGTGACTCTAAACATTTCTCAAATTGCACAAATCAACTTTTCACGTCATACCAGCACGCAGTGATTTTACTGCCTTACACGCTCCGACTACCGTAAACTGTTGGTACATATACAAGCAGGCACTAAGATCCTCAGTATGAAATATATATTTGAAAGTCTTCTCCTCTATAGCCCTTACTCCCCATCAAAGTGGTACTTTGACACGTCTCTGCGTTAAACAGCAGTGGGACATGCAGCTGGTATTCTAAATGCATGCACCACAGACTGCACAACTAGGTTCATAAAGAAAGGTATCTTTTTCTGCTAAACTCGCCTCTCAAATCTGATCAGCCGATTCAGTAGTATGAGGTAGATTCAGTGATTCAACATGTTTCTCAATTGCGCAAGTCTTAATTGTCATGCGACACCTCCACGGACCGCACGCGATTATTTAGGTTCACTGACGCCCCAGTCGGTAAATAAACTCTTCACAAAAAGAAATAAAAAGAAAGGCACAGGCCAAAATTAAGGAAAATGTATTAAACGTATTAAAGATTAAAGTGTACATAAGGCGATTATGCTGGAACGCAGATGAATGAAATTCAACACACGGATGAACATATGTATTGTTGTCATTGTCGGCATTAATTCAGTTCACTCACTGCACATGTGTGGACACAAGGGGGCGTTCAGGTGACACCACCCCTTGCAGCCGCCACTGCTCGACACCGCCTTGGAAGGGAATGAGCCAGTCGTCGGATTTTTTGCTGGATTTCCTCGCCATTCCTCCTGCAACGCGTTGGCAAGTTCTGCAAGTGTCTGAGGACGATGGTGACGTTTACGGACGCGTCGATAAAGTTCGTCTGATAGATGCTCGATCGGGTACAGATCAGGCGATTTGGAAGGCCAGGGAAGGACGTTTGCATTGGCGAGATGCACCTCGTAAAACGATCGATCTTTGTAGGGTCCAGCGTTGTCGTGTTGAAACAGCTCCCTCTGGCCGATGTAGAGATGTGCTGAAAGATTGCCTTGAACCACCAGTAGCTCTGATCTACCCATGTAGGACATGGCTCCCCGCACCATGACGTTCTCTCCACCAAATCTATTCACCTGTCGGCGCAAAACGCAGTTCGCCGCAAAACGTTCGTCCGTGCCAAACCCGTTGCCAGTTCCCCAGGTTCCATACCTGTTGCGCCATTTGACACGTCGTTATCGGTGTCGTCGACAGGTCCAACTTTGGTCGATATGCTCGAATTCCCACTTCTCGCAGACGATTTCTGATGGTTTGGTCGGAAATTCTTCGAAGACCAGGCACCTTTCCTGCAGTGTCCGTTGCTATAGCAAATCTGTGACGTAGGTGAAACACCCGGATAAATCGGTCCTGAGCAGGAGTGGTCACTATTGGTCTTCTACTTCTGGGACGATCTTGGGTCGAATTGAAGCGGGTGAATTGCGTGGAAAACGTTTTCTGCACGCCCTTTTCATGTATCGTTTCCATTTTGTTATGACAAACGTTTACAAAAACATTTTGGGATGCGTTTGCGCGCAATACTCAACAACCACGACATGATTAACGGGACTGAACATAGGAATTGTCTTAATGACGATTGCTGTCAAAATATATCGAAATGAACTGCCGAAAACGCCTGTGCGTTACTTTTTTTTTGAAGAGTCTGTAACAGGTGGAACGAAGTCGCACAAGGTATTCACTTCCTCATATCAATAGCCTCTACTGTTTGCAGAGAACACCTGGCGACAATGGATCAGTCTAAAGTTTCCGTCAAAATACAATGTCACTCTAGGCTGATCGTTGCTTTTGAGAGAACACGCAATAGTATGAAAGTATGGAAGCGTTTTAGGGCTACAGTCTAATATTTTATCATCTTGGATGCCAAACCGCCCACTCGTTTCATAGGCATAGTGTTGCACGGGATATCGTTAAGTATTCTCTATTTATAGTATGGATGTGTGAGTGCATGTTGCATCTATGTGTTAAAAACACAACAAAAAAACTCGGGTGTGTCCGCTGTTATACTTGTAACTATTCATAATTGTCCATGTCTTGTTTTCCGAGAAAAACAGAAAATAAATAAATAAAACATTATCATCTGCGTAGATGCTTTTATCTACGAAGATAACATTGAATATACATGCATGACATAATCTACTTAGGAGACGATACATCTTTTATCAAATTGTCGACTTTGGTAATCATAATTTACGAAACCTGGGGCTTAAAGAATGAAAACCAATTATTTTTCACTTTCAGCCGTGAGATGCCTATTTTGAGGTACTGTTAGAAAGTAAATCTCCATTTAGATGTGACGAAGTTCTATAAACAGAACCTACTTTGTTTTAATTTTAAAGCTGCTAGTTTGCACAACATTATGTAAAATCAGAAAAGGCTAAATGAACAATCTGGGACCAACATGCCATTAAGCACTTCAATAAATAAATAATATGAATACATACATGCATGCACGCCTGCACGCACACGCACGCACGCACACACACACACACACACGCAAGATTATAACATACATGTATTTGGAGATAAAAGTATCGTCTACGTGATCATCTATATATGTATACTAGGTATCATATACAGAGCTACAGATAACTTTTTGGGTAGTTGAGTTATGTACTCAAGTGTTTTCATCTCAATTGGGACCCGTGAAGGTCCGGGTTAGAGTGAGTGAGTGAGTGAGTTGGGTTTTACGCCGCTTTTAGCAATATTCCAGCAATATCACGGCGGGGGACACCATAAATGGGCTTCACACATTGTGACCATGTGGGGATTCGAACCCGGATCTTCGGCGTGACGAGCCAACGCTTTAACCATTAGGCTACCCCACCGCCCCGGTCCGGGTTAGAATGAACCTTCAGTAACCCATGCTTGTCGTAAGAGGCGACTAACGGGGTCGGGTGGTCAGGCTCGCTGACTTGGTATACACATGTCATCGGTTCCCAATTGCGCAGATCGATGCTCTTGCTGTTGATCACTGGATTGTCTGGTCCAAACTCGAGTATTTACAGACCGCTGCCATATAGCTGGAATATTGCTGAGTGCGGCGTAAAACTAAACTCACACACTCATCTCAATTGGGTATCCTAATTTTCCTTTGAGTTACCAAATAAATTTATCTCACCATTTACCTTGCCATTTTCCATTAATTTTGAAAATATAATAAAGTTTAAATGTTAGTGTTTGTTATTTATATTTGATCTGTAATATGAAAAACGATGCGAAAGACTGCAAGTTGTCAAGTTCATGTCCTGAAATAGAACCTCTAAGTATACCTCAGTTTATCTGACCACCGGTACGCAAGCTAAGATTTGACATTTTTGTGTGTACGCAAGTAAGATCACATTTATTGAATATTTACAAAAATTCAAGCGTACTTGTACGCAATAGACTTAATAGAATTTGAGTTTTCACATAAATATTTGCGTAATTTACGCAGATACGCAGCTTATCTGTACCTCTGATATATGAAGGTATCTTCTACGTAGATGAAAGTAGTTTCTATGTAGGTGTATTTTCTGTGTAGATGAAAAGGCTTCGAAATAGATGCTGAAAATACGTTTATACTGTGGCACCAATGAGCTTCCATACAGTAGACAGTATTCAACACAGTTGCGCCAAAACTCCATTACACCGATAAGATTTAACATCCTGTTATGTTTGAAAATCTGTGTCTGCGTGTCACGGTATTCAAGCTTCAGTTTGAGGAAAAGACTTTGGAAGTTGGTCAATACCTGAGGTGTTCCCAAAGAACATGCACTCCACGAAGTCACCGTACACGGCCCTAAGCACCAAAGGTAAAGATTCTAATTTACTATTTAGATAATTGTATTTGTACATATTTATATTAATGTTATTTTACTTCTTTTTTATAAATTGCGCAATAAATGCTTCACGTATTTTCTGGAATCAGGGCTTGAAGTGCACGACCATGAAGGTAACTACCCTCCAGGAGTGACTTTTGACTATCGCCCAGAGCAGATGTATGCACACAGTCGTCACAATGGAGTTGTGGTAGGTAGGACATAGGCGGATTCAGGGTGGGGGTGGGTGGGGGTGTCTGCAGGCTTGCGCTCACCCCCACCCTCTTTTTGTCCTGAACGTTTATTAAATAGCCATTGAAACTCTCGTGAAAACGGGTGAAAATGAACTGTGCACCCCCATTTCTCAAAAAGATGTATCCGCCCCTGTAGGACGTTCTGTTTAGCTAATGACGTCGATAGGCAGCAACATTAACATTTCATTGAACAGAATTTCATTTACTATCTCATATGAACTGATTCCATACTGACGGCACTCTGGGGGTATTTCCGGGAGATGTAAGGTCGGAATGTTTGTTTATTTACTTTTGAATTAAGTGAATATCGTTTTGAACATTCACATGGAACTCATTACTTTACAGGTGACTCAGCCCAGAACTGTTGTTGTTGATGGAGGAAGAGCTCCTCCGGATTACTGTTGGTTGTCATGTTGCTCTTTCTTCTTCTGTTGGCCGCTGGCGATACTCGCAGCCAGTAAATCCCGCGACGTACGTACACATTCAAATAGTAATAATAATAATGAGAATATTTATAACGCGCCTTTCCCAGGCCAGATTTCCTGCTCAAAGCGCACAATCTGATCATTATTACCCCGGATAACCCAAGTTGCCTGTTAGGCGCTGGAAGGTTAATAGTCTCATGACTTATTTCACCGGGTACCCATTTTCTGCTGGGTGAACAGAGGCAATTTTGAACACACTCCCATGCCTAAGGTGAGACCACACGTGTCACATGTACTTCGTTGTGGGGCAGTCCAAGAAACTCTCAGGAGTCAAGCTGTCACACACGGTCACCCATCCAAGGACTCTCCGTGCCCAACGTTGCTTAAGTTCACCTCAGTTGTGACCGGAGCTCTATGCACAGGACCACACATAGCTATTGTTCATTGAGCTCATCATAAGAAGCTTTAATCTGGCTGTATTTGACTTTATTCAAAGAATAGTAAATGTCCACTGAGCATTGATGAAATATGCCGCATACAGAGGTCTTTTGTGTGCAAAGGGTCTGTTAATAGTTTTGTCTTCTCGGTTTATTTTTTTGCATTGAGCTTTTCATATACTATAGTAAATTATCGAAAATGAAAAACGAAACTCGTCTTGGTACTGACACGTATTCAACCAAGCCCCAACAACTGATCAATCAGCTGGATCAATATATTAGTTGTCCGTGTGGCAAATATGAGGAACTAAACTTGTATTAATTGTGCGTCATCGGGGTTTCCTCGTTTCGCCACCACCTGTTGTTTAGAATTGTAGTCAAAGCAGTAATGTGTTCTGATTGGACGACAGCAGACGTGGGCAACAACGATGGTTTTGCGCCACATTTGGTTTTTGGTAAGTATTAATATCATGGCGGGGAGACAACAGAAACGCGCATTACACGGTTGTACCGAGATCTGGGCATTTGGCGTGACGCACCCCATCCACAGGAGTGGCTTTCACAATGAAAGGTGGAAGCGTAAAGGACCGTCTATATAATTTTGTGGGGTGATGGTGTTAAAGTACGACGAATGCCTCCAATAAATAAAAAAAAAATAAGAAATATATATATATATATACGCACAAAATGTCCAAAATAGTACGCAGGTGTTCAGTCATAAATATTACATAGATAAATAAATACAGAAAGCCCTTTTTCTCCAACATGTTTTCGTTCTTCAGAGGGGAGATTGTAGTGGTTACAGCATGGCGTCATTAACATATATTTTCGTGACGTCACAATAGAGTTTAATATTCTAGAGCGACAAGGTCACGGCTTGCAATGGTTTAACGCATTGGTTTGTAATTTTGTCTATGAAGTAGTGTTCTTTTAAAATTCCGTTTTGCTTTGTCCGAATTTTGAACTTGATAAAAAGGAAATATTGTAAATTTAACATATCGTTTCCTTTCACACAGAACATCTAGATGTTTCACTCAGTGGGATACATCGGGCTCTCAGGACCCACTTTGTTTGTTGTCTCTTCAGCGGCATTTAGAAGGTGTACAAAGATGTCTAAGATATTTTATGGATTAAACTTCTTTTAATTTCTCTCACAACGTTTCGAGACCATTTCAGGTCCCTTCATCCTGGGCCCTTATTCTCGAAACGTTCGTAGTCTCTAAGAATTCTTAACTCTGGATCGCCCAGCCAACGTGTTAAGAATGGGCTTAAGAAGTTCGTAGGGCCACGAACAAGTTTCGAGAATAGCTAGTTAGATGAACTGGCAGTTAAGGACTAGTGGCGTCAAACACTATGATGTCATTACTGAAGTTATGACGTCACAGTGCAAGTGACATCACAGTACACTAGGAGAGTACTGTATAGGTGGGGTAAGTTACATATTGATGGAAATTCATGCCATTACATCATGCTTGGGACATGCTGTTTGGCTCTTGGGGGAAAAGGAAAGACGAAATAGGAATCCCCGTTTTCGAGTGAGTGAGTGAGTGAGTTGGGTTTTACGCCGCTTTTAGCAATATTCCAGCAATACCACGGCGGGGGACACCAGAAATGGGCCCCGAATTGTATTTAAACAACACTCCAACTTAAACACTAAGAGCGAGGTTGCAGCATCTACCATGTTGTTGCATGCTATAGGGGGCCTCCATCACCTGCCTACTCTCGTTTGATGTCTCCAGTGTTACTGACATAACGTTGTAGTTTCCCCGAGTTAACGTTCACTTTTCGTCGATCGTAACCTCTTATCCTTGTAACAGACTTTAATATAGCTTTCACTTCGGGGTCCCACAAACACAATCGATCGTCAGCATAGGTTTTGACAATAATATTATTATGTCAAGTTTTCAATGAATTTGTGTGCATCACATTCTAAAACACGTCTTTCTTTAGCGCTCCGAGCACACTTTGGTGTGTAAAAAAATAAAATAAAATAAATAAATTAAATAAAAAAATAAAAAAATAACAATATATATATACGCACAAAATGTCCAAAATAGTACAGGTGTTCAGTCATAAATATTACATAGATAAATAAAAACAGAATGCCTTTTTCTCCAACATGTTTCGTTCTTTACTTTTCAGGGAGATTGTAGCGGTTACAGTATGACGTCATTACATATATATTGTGACGTCACAATAGGGACAACATTCTAGGGCGACAAGGTCACAGCTTGCAATGGTTTACATTGGTTTGTACTTGTCTATGAAGTAGTGTTCTTTTAAAATTCGTTTTACTTTGTCCGAATTTTGAACTTGATAAAAATGAAATATTGTAAATTTAACATCGTTTCCTTTCGCACAGACATCTAGATGTTCACTCAGTGGGATACATCGGGTTTCAGGACACTTTATTTGTTGTTTGTGGACACGAACCCGGGCTCTTAAATTTTCTGATTGACCAATATACTGTTCATTACAGCCTGTGCATGTTATGACATATATTATGTTTTTGCAAGAGCTGTCAAAATTCTGTTTTACATAGAATTCTCCGTGTCTCGTGAAAGTTACAGAGTGTCCTTCAACAATATGTCGACACGTTCCACAGTTACCTCTGTTGCATCTAGACACAGTAGGATTTGATAAATTCTGTTTCCTTAGAATAAATTTGGCTTTTGTTAGTATATTTTTAAGATTCTGATTTTGTCTTTGCTATTTATTATTTTTCTAGATTTCAGCATTGATTTCAGTTTTTCATCTTGTACTAAGATGCACATATTTGTTTTTATGTTCTGGAACACATTTGGGTTCAACGGATTATAAGTAGATACAAAAGCAATTACTTTTTCCTCATTGGTTTGTTTCATCGTTCCTGTCAAAAGATCTTCTCTATTAAGCTGTAAAGCTTTATATATTCCGTCTTCAACAAGAGATTTTGGATATTCCCGTAATAGTAAAAACGTCCTAAGTTCATTCATTCTTTGATTGTGGGTGTCTTGGTTTGAAACTATTGTACATATTCTTCGTGCCAGGTTATATGGAAGACTTCTTTTGGTGTGGCTCGGATGACAAGATTTGAAGTTTAAATATTGTTTCGTATCTGTAGGTTTGTAGAAGATATCTGTGTCCAATTTCCGCCCCGATTTGATGACCATTGTGTCTAAGAAAGCTGTTTTAGTTTCATCTGCCTCCATAGTGAAAACAAGATTTTCGTCCATGCTATTTAATAGTTCGTAAAATGTATTTAGTTTCTCCTCAGAAAATGGCCAAATTTTGAAGCAGTCATTTAGAAATCTTTTCCAATTTATATATAAATATATATAAAATAAAATAAAAATTTAAAAAATAAATAAAAATAAAATAAAATAAAAAATATAAATAAATAAAATAAAATAATAAATACATAAATAAAATAAAATGATTAAAAAAAATAATGTACAAAGTAAGTGACCCCCCTGCATGTCTTGTACAAAATCAATGACACCACCCCAACCCCCTTCCCATAATCTTTAGCATATTTTTTAAATACTGTTAAGTACAAAATTGCCAGAACAAAATGGGTGACCCCTCTTAAAATCATCATCACCCCTCTAGCCATAAATTATGTACGGTCTCTAATACAAACAATTCCCATCTTCGTGTTTTCTGTGACACTTTTTAAACATATTACTGTTATATTCGTGCTTTCAAAACTATTTGGGAGCTCACTGGACTGAAGCAGACTGTCTGAAGTCGACAGTTCTAACATAAGGAAAAACACGCACAGGGTCAAGCTTTAAGACATTTGAACTCCCTGACAGCTGTGGCATGTTTTGTACCCAAAGAATATGCATTGAACAAGCAGACATACGCTTCACTGAACAGAGGTTCCTGGGCCAGACTTGGAGTCTGTGCACACCACTTTGTAGTCATACTCCCCTTCTGTGATTATGTAGAGGGTATTGTGAGTCACTTGGTTGGTGTGTATTCCCACTTTTGTCTGGGCATGTAGTCAGTGTCTGGTGACCAGCACTCACTACGGGGGTCAGCACTGTCTGATATGGGCTTAATGCCAGCAACAGCTATATACACAACACCTATGGTCAAATGCAATTGAATCAGGTAAAAAACGGGATATCCAGTTTTGGACTGCATGAGTGGTCGAGTTCGGTTTGTTGCTTAAAATCACACTCAGCAATTTTTCACCTTTATGACAGCGGTCTGTAAATAATTGAGTCTGGAACAGACAATCCAGTGACTGACATCATGAGCATCGATCTATTCAATTGGGATAAGATGACATGTGTCAACCAAGTCAGTGAACCATAGGTTGCTGAAGACAAAATTCTAACCTGGATCTTCATGGGCGTCCTGAGTGATGGAATCAACGAGTGACACCACCTGGGTACCTTCTAATCAGATGAAGGATGGTCACCCAAGTACTACAACACTGTGACCAACCAATACCCATTCTGTTAAATATGCATATAAGTCTAAGTGAGAGTGTTTGTTCTAATACTGCACTGAATAGACATGTCACATTTACTACTTGCGCTGACAAACGGAGAAACATCATCATCAGCCAGATACCACAAGCATTCTAAGATGCTGACAAATGAAAATAGTAATGAGGAAGAATCCCACAACCTGTCAGGACTAAATGACCCATGTGGGGAGAATTGCAGCACCTTCAATCCAAGACCACTCACATCCCAACTGTGCATGAAGTGATCACAACATTCATCTCCATCACCTCAACATTTGAGACTTATGAGATTAAGGTTTATTTCTTTTATATGCATGACATTAACACCCACGGAATAGGAAACATTGTACAAATATGAAGGAAAGTTACTTGTCCCTATTGGTAAATATTCCTGCTCATGTACAAAGTTTTGTATTCTACATGTACTTCTAGTTACAGAGACATCTCACAGTAGGTCTGTGTCTCATACAGACCAGCACCAAACATCTTCAGTCCCATGGAAGCAACCACGCCTGAATATATTCTCACAATAGAAAAGACCTGGTTTGCCATATTCTCTTGCCAATATACTAAAAATTCATACTAGTCCAGATCATCGACCTGGCTGTACACTTAATGCCGAAAGTCTTGACTAGAGTTTTCTTTTTAAATGTTTGCTAGCACTATCTCTTTGTCACACAAGTGATCATTTCTTCAAGTTCGGTACATTCAATAACATCCTCATGTGTCAGGGGAATCGGAGCACTTCTTCTTCCGTCCTCTCACTGGAAGTTTGGCATGTTCGTCAAACAAGGTATTTTTCTCGAGATATGTGTCCTCCGTGATTTTGATCTCTGAAGTGTAAAAAAATGCCACATGATTAATATTTACTTACAAATATATAGATCGAGGGGGTTGCAATTATGTCATCAGTGATATGTATGGTATATAAACTTGACACTTGTTTTAATACATTTTAATGGATGGGACTCAACCCAACAAAAGTCCTAGAATCTGTACTTTCCTGAGAAAGAGTAATTCCAAATATAACAAGTGTTATTTTTGTATCATGTTGTATACTTGTGGAAATAAAGGTGGGTCAGGAATGGAATGGAGAAATTATCGATCATGTATGTTTAACAGCATGTATGTTTAAAATTCCTGCACCCAGATTGGATCATGCACATGTGATGTTTAACTTTATTTCCAATCTTCGGAAATATATGCCTTGAATCAATTTCAATGTTTGACACAGACTGCCAGGTGTGATGTAGTTCATCCTCACTGCTTGAATGGCCTGACTAGAGTATTCACAAGTTGCTGTGATGTAGGTGGAATATTGCCATAACAGCCAGCATCAGATTTCACAGCTATATGTACCATATGTTCCGTCCTCCCGGGCTTTTCCCTGCACAACCGTCTTCCGCAACAGTTTCTCGGAATCCTCCGCTATAGTGATCAGCTGAAATATGTAGAGGATGTGACCACAGATATATACATGTGTAGAGTCATAGACATACTTGTGTATCCCACAAAGTAGCGCCAATGTAGGATCTCATTAAAGTCTGTTTCTCCAGGACAATATCCCTCAAAGGAGGGTTTGCCAGATCTTCAGTGAGTGAGTGAGTGAGTGAGTGAGTGAGTGAGTGAGTGAGTGAGTGAGTGAGTGAGTGAGTGAGTGAGTGAGTGAGTGAGTGAGTGAGTGAGTGAGAAAATAGCTTCAGAGATTGTAAACCTGTCTTCAGCATGACAAACAAACATTTTAACCACTAGGCTACCCCACCCCTCAATCTTCACTGATAGAGGTATCATACAAGTGTAAATATTCTGAGAATGGTGAGACTTCACCAAGACAAAGTTGCTCACAAGGTGCCATGTCTGTATATTTGTAGCAAGTTGCATGTTGGACACAGTGCTTGTCTGAACATGATGGTGATTTTCAAATTTTTATAACATACATTCAGCATAAACAAAGCTGGGCAGTGAAGGCTTGCGCTATGTCACTGGAGCCTGTAAACAATTTAATCCATTCTGGACACCAGACCGCTGTACATCCTAAGAACTTCCCTTGCTATTGTGTTAAATCATGTGCTATAATCAACAATTAGACCCTGACTACATGATTCAAGTTAGTCGCCTCTTAAGACAAACGACCCATGAAGGTCCGGGTTAGAATGAATCTCCAGTAACCAATGCTTGTCGTAAGAGGCGACTAGCGGGATCGGGTGGTCAGGCTTGCTGACATGTCATCGGTTCCCATTGCGCAGATCGATGCCTATGCTGTTGATCATTGGACTGTCTGGTCCAGACTCGATTATTTACAGACCTCCACCATACAGCTGGAATATTGCTGAGTGCGGCGTAAATCTAAACTCACTCACTCACTCTTAAGACAAACAACAGATTGGACCTGCTTCAACAAATCATGCCTCAACTGTGTCAGATTTAATGGTATTCTCACCTCCTTGATTTTTTCTGCATCTGTTTCCTGAGTATGTTTCTTGAACTCATCATTAATCTTTAATTTCGCAACTGCAACAGAAGATAACTTATACATAGTAGCTACAATACAGAGCTGAAACCCTTCACGATAACACTTTATTCAAATGACATAAATGAAATCTGTGGGAAAAGTTTTGACTTTCAGAGTATGTTTATCAGTTCATCTGCAGCAGCAGATCAGGCCCCCAAAACATTAATTAATTATGCTATTTATTTGCAGGTTTTGTCGGTGAGAGCCCATTATGCCAATTCATGGCAATCCATTTTAGCCCTACGTACACTAAAAACATGAAAATATCATACTCTATTTGGATGAAAATAATGAGTTGAAATGCACTCCAGTCATGATTTTGACTTGGTTAACAAAAAGATTTTGGGTCGGGGGATTAGGATAGGGTCGGTCAGGTTACAGGAAACAGACATGATTTAATCTAGAAATCTTTCAATGTTTTATGAAAAGGCATTGTCACTGCATGATATGGTACTCTTGAAGACCTTCTCAGGTGCCGACTTGGTGCAAATACTAGTAATAGATGAAAGATAAAGTAACAAAAAAAAGAAGATAAAACCAAAAGATAAAACCGACCCACCTATCCTATTTTCAAAAAGCATGCAATAAGGTTTTTTGGCCTCAAAGGGTGTCAGAAATGGTGTCATTGTCAAGTGAGTGAGTGAGTTTAGTTTTACGCTGCACTCAGCAATATTCCAGCTATATGGCGGCGATCTGTAAATAATCATGTCTGGACCAGACAATCCAGTGATCAACAGCATGAGCATCAATCTGCTAATTGGGAACCGATGACATAAAATGTAATTTTTGAGTAAAATTGATATTTTATACTTATCCTGACTCATGCTCTTTTGCTTGTCTCCTTCCTCTTGCGAACATAGTGGAACACTTGTATCTCCCTAATTGAAGTTCCCTTCAATGTAAAATCACTAATTAGTACACCACGAGTTACCTCCCTTCCACAAGCGCGGGAACGAGGGCGCCACCTCTACCCATGTGCCTCACTCTCTCCTCATATACTGAGCCCAACATTTGAATTTACAGGGAAATCCAAAGTGTTATTTGGGGAGGATGGGAGGGCTGACCTCATGAGTCAGGATAAGTATAAAATATCAATTTTACTCAAAAAATTACATATTTTTCCTTATCCTGACTCATGCTCTTTTGCTTGTAGAATCCAACAGAGCGGAGGTGGGAATATATAATACTTTGGATTTTAATAATTAGTGATTTGAACTGTGATGATTGTAATAACCCTATGAGAACTTCATAAAGGCATTGAACTGATGAATTCTGCTGCCAGCTTATCAGCTGCCATATAGAGGTTATTACAATGTACTTATTATGATAAGTATATATAATATTAATACAATGCTTAAGACTAATAGACTTAAGCTTGTTAATATGCTAGTATAAACTCCTTAGAGTTTGTTAGCTAAAATACTTTTAAGATATAAACATAGCACTAAGCTTAAAATATGATTAATTTTAAGCTAATTATATAATAACAAACCTCTTTAGGGTTTGTTAGTTAAAATATTTATATGATATAGACAGTGCTGAGCTTAAGATATGAATAAGCTTAGCTATATATATAACAGCAAACTTTGTAGAGTTTGTTAGCTAATACATTTTTACAATATGAGTATAGTATTGTGCTTAAGATATAATTATCTTAAGCTACATATATAATAGCCAAACTTAGTAGAGTTTGTTAGCTAATATATTTTTACAATATGAGTATAATACTGTGCTTAAGATATAATTAACTTAAGCTACATATATAATAGCCAAACTTAGTATAGTTTGTTAGCTAATATATTTTTACAATATGAGTATAGTACTGTGCTTAAGATATAATTAACTTAAGCTACATATATAATAGCCAAACTTAGTAAAGTTTGTTAGCTAATATATTTTTACAATATGAGTATAGTACTGTGCTTAAGATATAATTAACTTAAGCTACATATACAATAGCCAAAAACTCTGTAGAGCTTATTAGCTAATAGATTTATAATGTAACCATAGTACTAAGCTTAAGATATGATTAGACTTAAGCTAAATGTATATAGCAAAAACTCCTTAGAGTTTATTAACTAATATACTTTTATGTTATAAACATAGTACTGAGCTTAAGATATGATTAAACTTAAGCTATATATATATAATAGTAAAACTCCGTGAGAGTTTGATAGCTAATACATTTTATTATGTTGATTTAGACCTAGTATTGAGCTTAAGATATGAAGTAAACCTTAAGCTAAATATATAATAGCAAAAAACCTTTTAGAGTTTTAATAGCTAATATACTTATATGGTATCAACATAGTATTGAGCTTAAGATATGAAGAAACCTTAAGCTACATATGTATAGCAAAACTCCGTAGAGTTTGTTAGCTAATACATGATATAATGTAACCATAAAGCTTAAAATATGATGAAAACTTAAGCCCAATATATAATAGCAAAAAACTCTTTTAGAGTTTTGATAGCTAATATACCTATATGCTATAAACATAGTACTGCGCTTAAGATATGAATAAGCTTAAGTTACATATATAATAGCAAAAACTCCATAGAGTTTGTTAGCTAATACATGTTATAATGTAACCATATTGCTTAAGATATGATGAAACTTAAGCCAAATAGCAAAAGCTCTTTAGAGTTTGTTAGCTAATATAGTTATATGATATAAACATAGTACTGAGCTTAAGATATGAATGAGCTTAAGCTACCTATATAATAGCAAAACTCCGTAGAGTTTGTTAGCTAATGTATTTTTACAATATGAGTATAGTACTATGCTTAAAATATACTTGACTTAAGCTACGTATATAATAGCCAAAAAAACTCTGTAGAGTTTGTTAGCTAATGCATTTATCATGTAACCACTGTGATGATAAAAAACGAGCTTAAGCAAATTATATATAGCATGAAGCTATTTAGTACTGTTATAAGATAAGTAAAAATCTGTAAGATTGACTTATCTTCTCCGAGGAACTGTCAACTGTTGTGCAAGGACCATGGGATCGAATTGGTGGATACCTGAGATGTCCTCGGTGGTGATATCTCTCAGATAATGGTTGGCAACCACCATATCGGATCTACAGTAATAAACCCTCCATTATTTCAAATAACATTTGTGTAGATGAAATTGTAGAAGTTAGGGCTCTAATATCAAGAGTATTAAAGCTCATGGAGGGTCGGATTAGGTCCATCTGTCTTGTATGCACGTAGTATGACAGTTCTGATCCAAACGGAGATATAGTACGTGAGACTACACTCTGCGTAAGTTGATGATAGAGGAAAAAAAAATCTGTTGTATTTTTCTTCCTGTTTGGTTTGGTGGAGATAAATTTACAGTGCTCTTGCTGGCCAGCGTGATAGCATCATCGTATCATGGAGTCCAAGTATGTCATCCAGGCATGTTCATAAACCTCACTTGTGAGGTGTTGTAGCACTATATTCATATCCCCAAGTTGGTACGTGAAACTTCCGTTTATTCTCCAAACAGAAACTTAGTAGGTTTACTAACCATCTAGTTGTGTTAGTAGCTTGATGATGAAATTCAGGTGTAGTCTGAAACGCTGTGGATTTCGATCCACTTGTATCACGTCGTCTAGGTAAATCGTTGCGATGTCCTTGACGATGTATGTGCACAACCGGGAGTTTGTGTCCTCGATGAACTTTATGTAAAATCGCCTGACTGCTGTGCCCTTGTCTAAACTTGACAGGGGAGGTCTCTAACCTGAAGAAAGCAGCCTAATCATGAAGGTTCAGGTTAACTGGGCTGTAAGGAGGCTTGCTCGTTCATTGATATAAAGTTGTCACTTGCAACCTATGTCTTGAACTGTGAACTATGCTCGACCTCTGTGTAGGGCGTTGTTCATCGGGGTCCAATCAGAATAAGGCATTTTGATTCTGTAGAGTACCCGCGCTGTGATGTCACCGGTGTAGCAGGAAAAGGAACCTTGTATAATATAGTGCCGTCGTTGATATTAGAACAATCATCGGTCTTCATCGTAACTTCCCGAAGTTACCCGAGTGACCACGTGTTTCGAGGATTAATGGTAAACGCGCGAAAGCTTCGGCGCAAAATACCTTGCTCTGTAATATTAATGCTGGGTAGGTTATTTTCCTGGCTGTCGTGAAAGTACTTCAGTTTTGAATATAATTCCGACTTCTTTATATATAAAGGTACAATAACTTGTAAGTTGTCAGCTTGTAGACTGTATACATGAATGTATCGTCATAATTGTAGAATTAAAGCTGAATTTGTTGTACATATTTCTTCTCAGAAATGTTGACGATTATGAGTTATACTCGCTGTAACAAGGCTGCTGTTCAATTTCGATATTGAATTGTCTGCAGATATGCGTAATGGTCACGCATGTAGATAATCGTATCGTCGTCCGGGATTGCATATACTAGCAATTTATACGGAATAGTTGATTTCTGTGAAGATCTATGAAACGTCGTTGACAAATTAATACAGCGACGTTCTGTGTTGTAAATAGCCTGTGCAATTGTCTTCGCGTAGGCTTATAGACGGCATCTGGCATACAGTTGATAGACAACTTATGCGATGTCTTGAACGGACTGAGGAGTAGCTATATATGACGAGTGGCTAGTATATGGAGACCTTGGAGGAGACTTCCTCGGTGAACGCCGGAGACTTCACGAAGCTCTCGAAGTATCCCTTCTAGATCTACTGGTGAAGTAGACTTGGAGCCACTTAGCCTTCGCGACCTTCGCGAAGGTATCGAGTCAAAGTCCGATTAGAATATATATATATATATATATAAGAGCGCTTGCTTCGCGAATGGCCTCTGTGTTTAACAGGATGTGGGGTCGGCGAAGCGCTACTCCTCCGCGACGTCCCTTGTAGCTGGTGAGGCTCTAGCTCCTTCGCGGAGGCGGCCTGGGACTTGCTGGTTCTGCATAAGTAGGGCCGAGTGGATCATCTTATCATTTTCAGAAGTCGTGTTACGAAATCTGGTGATAAGTGTCTCAATGATCGTTCTAGATCTATTTAGGCCAACGAACATACGTCTCGTCATGGATTCAACTGAACCAATTTACGATTGTAGTTCTTATTGTTGATATCGATGATCAACTTGTAGTTTTCATCGATGTCTTAAGCCTTGAAGAAGGGGTCCATGTTGTGCGTGGAAAACTTCTAGGCGTGAAAGTTCGGCAATTATGGTGTCTGAACTTTTGTGGCTTTATGGGATGCTATGTCTAGATTCTGTGCTACCGCAGCAATCGGGTCGATCGGAGGTAGGGTGATAGCATCTGCGTCGTCTTCCTTCATCAGGTATGTCTGCGTCGTACTGCCACTCTAGGAAGGTGATGTAGACTTGTGTGCAGACTTGTGTGGTAACCTGTGAGGCGATCGATGTGGTGATGTACGAGGAGATCGGAGACTATTGACAGCTTCGCGAAGCTCTTGAGTAGTCCCTTGACTCTGTTAAATGACGATCTATATTCGGGTGTCCTTCCCGAGTGCCTTCGCGAATGCCTTCGCGAACGCCTTCACGAACGCCTTCGCGAACGCCTTCGCGAAGCTTCCTCTGCGTTCGGTGCTGGGGAACGGCGATTTGAGCTTCGCGAAGGCTTCCGTGAGGTCTGGTGGCTGAGTCTGCATCTAAGGATGAAGCCGAGGAATGTGATGATCTATCCCGCCTTCGCGAAGGCCTTCGCGAAGGCTGTACATCTGGGTCCTTCGTCAAGGTGGTCTGCGACTTCCTTCGCGAAGGCTGCATCGTCTTGGCTGCTACGTTGACTGGAGGTGCCTCTAGAGTGTTGTCTAAGTTGGAGCCTTCGCGAAGGCTCGTACTCTGGGCTGGCTGCTTCTCCAGTCTGTAGTGACCCTCCATCACGACCATGATTTGCCGTAGTAGCTCGTCTGGGATGGTCTGCGACGAAGTAGTCGGTGCCATCTCTGCGCTGTTAGTGGTGGGGCCCTCAGGTAAGTCGTCTGACATCAGTGTAGAGACATCAGGCTGCATGACGATCTCTGCTGATGTCATTGTAGCTGTCACCGGTCGCTACTTGTCTCATACGTCGAGGATGATGATCGGCTGATCATCGTAGAGGCCAAGTTCAGCGGCTGGAACAATCTCGGTTGAGAAAGTCCTAGTAGACTTCGTTGAATTCCCCTCAGAGGTCGACGCTGCCCTGGGGGTGCGAAGTCTGCGTTGAGTGTTGGTAGCGACGGGACCCTCAGGAAGATCATCGAATGTTGATCTGCGCTGACATCACTGTTGCCGACATCAGTCATTCTTTGATGTACATCAGGAATGATGATCGGCTGATCATCATACAGGCCCAAATCTGCGATGAGAACAATCTCGGCTGAGAAAGTTCTAGTAGACTTCGTTGAATACCCCTCAGTGCGACGAAGGGATGTCTGGGGAAGCAGGACGCTTCTTGGAGGCGGCGGACTACGTCCCACGCCTCTCCACCATTCTAGCGGAAACCCAGACGGGAGGGGGGTCGACCAACAGCAGTAGACTGGCGAGGGGTTCAGGTGTATCAGTCATGCTAGACTCTGCATACGTGACCTATCTGCTGCGCGTCTCAAACGCAAAGTAATTATTTATTAAAGGTAGAATTGGATAAATTAGTATCGCAACTGCAACGTGAATCACATGAAACATGGCGCAGTACAGCTAGGGCATATTAAATGCGGATCAGCAGCAGAATAAAAAACGTAATGTGCAACAGTACAGAATTTTTATCAACGTAATCCACTGCAACAGCACGGCGTCCCGTGCATAAACAGTAGAAACACGACTAAATATCAATATATAATTGTTGAAAGATACTAGCTAAACCTCTATAGATCTCTATACGAGGTAACTAACTAAATATAATCAAAGGATATAGTGTGTCGGGAGACACAGGCGCTCTCACGTCCAGCTCACTGGGCGAAGAAGGAGAGAGTGAGGCACATGGGTAGAGGTGGCGCCCTCGTTCCCGCGCTTGTGGAAGGGAGGTAACTCGTGGTGTACTAATTAGTGATTTTACATTGAAGGGAACTTCAATTAGGGAGATACAAGTGTTCCACTATGTTCGCAAGAGGAAGGAGACAAGCAAAAGAGCATGAGTCAGGATAAGGAAAAATGTCTTACTTTGTCCCAGTAACATGTGATTCAATCAATTTTGATGTCCTCTGCTGCTTTTGCCTGCAGCCTAATCTGTGTTAATGATTCAAAATCTGCAAATTTGACAACAAACAATTTTGCTCTAAATATTTTGTATCGCCTCAATACCAAAGAAAACAGTATAAATTATCTTTTAAGACAGGTCTTTTCTCCTTTTCCAGATGCAGTTTTCCAATAGCCTCCCCTAAACAGGCAAACTAAAACAGAATAAAAAGTTACAGATGTTTTTGTCTTCTTTCCTGATGTACATTTAATGAAGATTTAAAAACATTTTCATTTTAAACTGCCTGACTTACTCAACTTTATATCACTATGGTTATGTGAAACATGTAAAAAGTAATGCTGCCCTTATGTTCAAAGTAGAATATATTTGTTGAGGTTGAACCTGAAAGAGCTACATCATCCCCCTGGAACACCTTCTTTCTGGCTCGGTGTAAGGACCGGAACACTGACAGCACCTGCAAAACATATGAAGGTGTTCTCTTTACACTTGTATTGATTGCCTTCTACAAACACTGCTAGAGAGACTTCAAATATCAGTGTTAGTGACTTAAATGTACTGTACCCATAAAACTATAAGAACCATAATACAATTTCAGTCCAAAAGAACACTCCTACCTACACAAATGTTTGTATCAAAGTACTAACTCAAACTACATGCACCAGATCTGCATATACAAAATAATATAGAACATTAAATCTTAAATGCAGAGTTATTGTTGTATTGTTCAAACCAATTCATAACTGAACTTGTTTGAAATGCATTCTGTTCAATTTGACCAAATTTGCTGGGGCAATTCGACCGGTACCCGATCAACTGAGATATTGTCTTTTAAATCAGGCAGTTTGTCACTTGCAACACTTTGTTGAACTCGACTTTGCTATCCACGTTTTCTCTCCACAGATGCCTGGGTTAGCATAGTTACTTACAATGTAAACAAGCAGTTACTTCAAAATGACTGTGGATTTTAGCCAGTTCATGTTACAGTCAACAGTATAATAATCCACATTTCCCGATCAATACACAAAGAAGCGTGAGTAAAATGGTCCTAACAAAGGGTGCCAGTCAAATCGCCCCAGCTACAAAACGCCCCAGCTACAAAACGCCCCAGCCAATTTGGTCAAAATGCCCCAGACTTTTGGTCAAATCGCCCCAGGTTTGGTCAAATTGCCCCAGGGGGGTAGTCAAAATGCCCCAATGTATTTAAATTGGTTAAATATATCCCTTAAATGCATAGTTTTTGTCAACTTCCATATTATATTCTATATATAATATTATATAGTGATATTTCTGATAAATTTTCTATTAGTAAACTGATAGGACCAAAAGTAATATTCATGTACATAAACAACACTATAATACCAATTATTTGGTAAAGAATTACAAGAGTAAAATGAAAGGTTTGTATAATATGCTTATTGGCTGTAAATAGTTTTTGGTCAACAAAAGGCATTATGTAATCATAACAAGTATGGTATAATATTTATTATTTAAACATATTTATTTCCAAAGAAAGGAACCGGATTGGTAAACAAGCATACGCTTATATGAATACCGCTCTGGGATACAATGGAAGGAAGAATAAACTCGTCATGATGATTGTACAATGTGAATGATATATAAATGTTGCAAAAACGAGAAATATCGCCTATCATTGTTAAACGGTATATGGCATATAAACAAAATATTTTGGATCAAATCTGCCTGTTAAATTTATAAAAGAGTGCACTGAAATTAAAAGTTCTTTGTTTACTATTGAGGAGCAGCGTTGGTTTCCAAACAAAATTGATTTTAGGTCAAATCCTTTTAGCATAAAAATACATAATTTGACGTATATGGTTGTAAAGAGTACATGAAAAGAACTAGTGAGCAGAGTCTTCATAGATATGGCCACAAGAGCAAGATGATGTCGGAGATATAAATCTTTCATACTTGTGCAAGATAAGGTCACTACATTCAAGTCGGAGATCGAGAATGTATGATTAGACAAAATCTGCTACCTAAATTTAAGTCAAAATGACTGTAGATATTAGAATCGCTCAAAATTACATTTTGAATCTCGATAGGTGATAGTCAATTAGTGAATATGTTTTATAGCCTGAAATGTTCATACATTCGAGCCTCAACATTTTCCTTTAACTAAACACAGCATTGAATGTCAATTAGTGAACATGTTTTAATAGCCTGTTTTTATCCACACTTTTGACAAGATTAATTAACAAAAGCTCTAGATTGTTTTGATAAGCATTATACCATACTTGTTGAGAAAATCTATGCATTTACGGCCTCACCTTTTGACAAGATTAGTTAATAATAACAAAAGCTCTAGATTGTTTTGATAAGTATTATACCATACTTGCTGACAAAAACTATGCATTTATGGCCAATAAACATTTTATACAAACATTTCATTTTATTCTTGTAATTCTTTACAAAAGCATTAATAACATGCAAATAATTGGTATTATAGTGTTGTTTATACATGAATATTACTTTTGCTCTTATCAGTTTATACTAATAGAAAATCTATCAGAAATATTACTATATAATATTATACGAAGTATATAATATGGAAGTTGACAAAAACTATGCATTTATGGCATATATTTAATCATTTTAAATACACTGGGGCATTTTGACTACCCCCCTGGGGCAATTTGACCAAACCTGGGGCGATGTGACCAAAAATCTGGGGCATTTTGACCAATTGGCTGGGGCGTTTTGTAGCTGGGGCGATTTGACTGGCACCCCTAACAAAACAATAAATTTTGCAATTGCACCTATAGTAGGAATGTGTCGATTGTGTGTAAGGACAGCTACATCCAATTGTTTCAGCTCCTTGGCAATGGCTTTATTTCTCACGATCCCGGGAAAATTTCACGAAATGTGGGTGTGCGTCTTCGAGTGGGGGTGAAATTTGAAACGGTAACTTATCTATGAACAGACACGCGGTTTCGGTTTTGATCAGTCCAGTTCGGCATGCGTTGGTGGAAATTACAAACAGATAATCTAAAATATGTTCAACTGTCATGCCAAAACCGTGTAGACACCCCAATATTTTCTAAGTTTAATTTCACCTTGGCCCTCGACATGTGAAAATGTTTACACTCTTCTTCGCTTGAAGGAAGAAAAGACAGCAAGTGTCTCAACTCATTACGCACTAGAGAGGGTCCTTCACCGCATATAATTTACGTTATTTTATCCATATTTTAATCCCAAGATATTTAAATACAAAGAGCAAAAGCTTAAAATGCTTCAAGATATAAGACAATAAGAATGTTGAAACGTGTTTGTCTAATATTTAGTATTACTATTGACCATATTCGTGACAGTTATAAGTGCATGGTAGCTTGAGCTATTTTATACAAAACTGGAATATTAAAGAACGGAAAATGAATTATTAATAAATACATACGATATAATGGTACCTAACTGAACATTGATTATGTACATAATTATGAATATTGCTGTATTAGGTTAATAACATTTGAATACGAGGAAGTCGTTCCACCCTCTCATTTCCATAAATCGGAAACACGCTGGTAACTGTATTATTTTGCTATTCCTACTTTTGTATTCTACCGGCTTCCCTAGAAACGAAAACAGGATGAAAAGTATGTCCTTATTTTCACGTTAATTGACTTTAAGAAAGTGTTTTAATGTAATTGTTTTTGTCCTGGTGTCCATATGGATATTCAGTGATTGGAACTGAGCGAAATCAGAAGGTTAATGTTACTCTGATCAGTGACAGTGAAATCCGCTAAATGTGATCAGAGAGAGAGAGAGAGATGTCATACAGATTCAGTGAATGAAACAACCCAGTGCTAAACATTATTAATTGTTTTCATATACACAAGTGCAATATGTATCGGTCAGGGTTAATATCGAATTTCTTATTATGGTAAAATGGGTCAAACCGATGATGTTGTCACCAGCCATCATGCGACTTCTGTTATTGTGTTATTTCTTTTAGTCTTCCAAGAATTTCCGTAATGAAATCCCTTGATATCTTTCTACAAATTGTGATGCCTAATGCCCTATGTAATTTTCAAGTATGTAACATGTTGCTTAGTGGCTGCAGGAAATGTAGCAGATAGATATACCTGATTTATACATATTGAAATGTAACTCACCTCCCCTATCCCTACAAAATATTCGTCAGACATGGTAGCCATGTCCAAAGTATTCTCACTGGACTGGCCAGATTGACACATCAGATGAGAGATGTGTAAATGATCAAATCTGGACTGGTCTACATAACAATTAAATTGTCTTAATAAACTTACTTTATGTCACTAAAAGTACATGTGAACATTGATGCCTAACAAAAGAAACTGGTTCCTGGGCCTCATCTTGATTATCAAATTTTGAAATGGTTTTCATTTTCAATGCTTTTGCTATCTGTCAGAATATTTAATATGAATATATGAAATAATGTGCTAATGAAATATGGTGCTTATTTCTGTGACTTATGTCCTCAGTTTCTCTTTACAAATGTGGCTGTTTAGAGTTTAGAGATTTGCAGTTTCCTCTAACCTTTGTTCGTTTGTGTTAAAAAGATGATTGATAATGATTTGCTAAGTGTAACCAGAAAGTAAAGTTTTACTTTTACCGCCAGATAAAGGACCATAATCATATCTTCAGTGTGACACCAGCTTGTGATCAAGATGCCAATCACAAAGTTGCCGGTGGTCCACAAGTTTGGCATCATCTCTCACAGCCAGCGTGGAGCTGCAGGAAAGACTCCTCAAACAGTCCTACTTGGAGAGCATCAAGAGCAGGAAGGCCATTGCATCTACAAGGTGAGTCATATGTAACAAAATATGTTTACATTCATCACATTACCTGTGTATCTGAAGCTAAAATCCTGAAATCCAATGATCGCCAGTACTCCATGAATGCACAGAATGAATACACCTGACTTGGTTGATTATGGGCCTGACAATGATGGGAAACCACTAACAGACAATGTAATTATTAACAGTACTCACTTTCTTTCCCATGATGCTTTTATTGTGAATACCCTTGGTCACTGAATAACTGCTTTAATTTGAAAAAAAAAGATAATAATGTTCTGGGTTATCAGGATGTTCTTTTCGAAACCATACATGCTGTGTTGAAGAAATACTCTTCTTCATTGTGTTTAATTTATTGGCTGCAATTTGATATCATGGAAATATTTATGGGGGTACAAGGTTTGCTTCCCCTCTTTTTGAGCACACTTCAGGTAAAGGTCTCAATAAAGTTTCATCATTTGGTCATGTGTAGAAGATATATTCTGTTAGTGTTCTCCAAAAATACACTTTATGCATCAATGCTGCTTGGGCTGGAGGTACATCAAGATTCATGAATATGCCTGGAACTTGGGTCCAAACTGGACCAAGTGGAAAGCGACATGTTCCCTTGTGTGAACAGTTAACTTTAGCAAGTTTATGTACCTCTGTACTGTTCATGAAACTTGAGGGGCGGTGTGATAGCCTAATGGTTAAAGTATCTGCTTTTAACACTAGAGACCTGGGTTCAATTCCCTACATGGGTACAATGTGTGAAGCCCATTTCTGGTGTCCCCCACTGTGATATTGTTTGAATATGGCTAAAAGCAGCATAAAACCATACACACTCACTCACTCATGGAACTTGAGTATTTGGCTGTTCTTTGAAACAGATAGTCTCAGGACCATTCCAGTTGAGACAGGTACAAGAGGACTGGTGAATGCACTTTATCAGAATAGAAAGAAACATGTGCAAGAACAATAAGTTTGACAGTGCCTTGTGATGTATATTTGTAGCTGTATCCCTATAATCCTGATGAACTTCTGTCACTCTTCAGAGATGTTTTACATCAGATTATTACATCAGGTTAAGACAGTGTGATGAGTTTGTTTTGATTGAAGAAACCCACTGGAAATATCAGACGACTTCGTGCAGCTCTACAATGCTACAAAGAGTATCGATGACAAAGAGAGACTGGATGAAACAGCCAGGAAGATTTTGGAGAGGGCAAAGGTGAGAATTTTTTGCCCGCCCTTGAGACATTAAACAGACTAAGTGCGCCAAAAGCCACAATGTGACTTAGCTAATACATAAAAAATATCTACACTTGAAAGCTTTCCATAAAAATATAACTACATTTACACTTATCCTATCTTGCACTATTCATTTCATCTTTCCTCTTTGGACATTATCTTAGAACAAACTTACAGCTTCAGAAACACCTCACCCAAACAATCTTAAGTAGGGTATGGCAAATCACTTTGCAGAATTGTATCCCTTAGTCCTGCCTGATCTCTTGGAATGGGTTCAAATACCATATTTGCTGTGATTACCATTCTTAATTTCTTGGGGCGGTGGGGTAGCCCAGTGGTTAAAGTGTGCGCTAGTCACGCCGAAGACCCACTTTCGATTCCCCACATGGGTACAATGTGTGGACCCCATTTCTGGTGTCCCCCGCCATGATATTGCTGGAATATTGCTAAAAGCGGCGTAAAACTAAACTCACTTAATTTCCTAGCACCAAGCAAACCAGAACATCATCGGTTGGTAAGCACCATGCATTCCTGGTCATCTTTTTAGGTCAGCACCATGCACAGCTGTGCATATTAGTTTGCACACAGCAATATTTGTTTGTACTTTTCAGCGTCGAGCAGGAGTAAAGGACCTAGGTGCAGGTCAACATGTTAATCTCCCAATGGCATGGACAGAAATGGCACAACTTGCACAGTGCAAGGGACGGTTTCAAGAAGGTGAGTACTGTCTCTATATGATGTCTCTATACATACTGTCTTTATATAATGCCTCTATTCGATATCATGGTACGATATCTCTCCATGACATCAGACTCTTCTTCTTGTACAGAATGCCTGGATATCCTGATCACGTCTCTGGACGTGTCCCCCCTGGAGAAGTACCACATTCCCGCCCTCTTCTTCCTGGCTGAGACCATGCTGTACTGGCTGCGGACGGAAGCCGTACATCAACCTTTCCTCCGCACAGCCGAAATCAAACTTCTCCGGGTACTGCTCCAGTGTCAATTGTCCACTTGCTGTTGTAGGAGTGTGTTAGCTTATCTCACAAAATGAAGGTCATGTCAGCTAACCTTTTCGACTGACCAATCAGAACACAGCTTACCAATCGCGAAAGTTAATATTCGCACATACCGTTTGAACCGTTACCTAAAAAACTCGAACGATTCCAAATGCTATTTTCCGCATGATCACTTCTGAGTGATACACATGGAGGACGCAATGAGTAAACAGTCGCTGAAAATAGCCTTTTTGTCAATATTCAAGGGATGTCATCTTACGGAAATATAAGCTAATAGTAACCAATCATTAGAAACCCCTAAGTGTATATATACTGCAGGTCAAATATCTGTGTTTTATGCAGATTTTCGTTTGTTGGTAGATTAGTGTCAGCGACCAGGGAAGAGAAAATCCAAAATGAATTTATCTTCTGGAAATCTAATTTTGAGATGTAAAAGTACTTTCTTGACATTGCTTAAATGTATGACAATTTATTAGGTAAGTTGGAAATATTAAGAGTTAGTGTGTCATGATATGAAACAAGACAACAGTAAGGATGATCAGAGAAACGGTAGTCTGCTAGTGAGCAGAAATATAACAATAATTGCTTGGTTAACTCACTGCTCAAATGCCACAGAATCGTTTTCAGTTTATTTAATGTAATATAGATCAATTTGCTACCTTTGCTGAATTTGGAAAGTGACATCATACCTCCATCTCTTACCTGTAATTTTACAGAACAAGCATAAGTGTCATTTGCTGGTACAGGTATATATGTCATTTGAATAGGATCGAAAAAGATAGGCGTTGCAGCAAAAGGGTCCATATTTGGGTAAAGTTACTTTACTTTGGATCATCCAGGGGATGGGGTTTATTGTGATGTATTAAGCTGTGAGATATATTTTATATTAGTTTGGAGTGACTTCAGTCAAAATTGCTAACTGTACTGCAGCCTGTACCTTTTTCAAAAATGTTTATTTTTTCTCAACCTGTGAAGATCCGGGTTAGAATTGATCTTCAGCAACCCATGCTTGTCGTGAGAGGCGACTAATGGGATCGGTGGTCAGGCTTGCTGACTTGGCTGACACACGTCATCGTATCCCAATTGTGTAGGTCTAAGCTCATGCAGTTGTTCACTGGATTGTCTGGTCCAGACTACATTATTTACAGACCGCTGCCTTATAGCTGAAGCATTGCTGAGTGCAGCGTAAAACTAAACTCACTCACTCACTCACTATTTTATCTCCCTTTCTTCCTGTTTGTCCAGATGGGTCAGCTGGTGTTTACACGTCTCTTCTATCACCACATGGCCGGTCAGCTCCAGGGTCACACCGACTTCAAGAACAGACTCTTCACATATCTGGATGGTTAGTCTTTGCTGTATTCTCTATCAGTTTATGTTTCATTCGTCTCTGACAAAATATATTTAGTTCAACTAAAAGATATTTGGAAGTTTGGATTCGGTTGCCAAAGACATTGGCTTATGATATCTTGTAGTTACAATCCGAAATTAATATATGTACAATTTATGTTCAAACCTTTACATTATAGCCTGCTATATCTGCATTACAAAACCCTTATTTTCTGTTTTTAGTAAGTGAGTGATTATGGTTTTACGCCGCCTTTAACAATATTTCAGCAATATCACGGCGGGGGACACCAGAAATTCACACATTTTACCCATGCTGGCAATCAAACCTGGGTCCTCGTTGTGACGAGCGAACGCTTTAACCACCAGCAGGGGTTGAAATAACTTTAAAATTGCTAGTGTACTCCGGTACAGTGGCACATGTAAAATCACTTGCCCTAATAATTTTTCCACTATACCGGCCGTTTTCTTGTTGATTTTTTAAATAAACAACATAATTAACATTGGAATATCAACTGGACACCGGTACAGTGTGATATACAAATTTGCTTGCCCGACAGAAAACAATCACTGGACTCGGGCATCGGGCAATGAGTTATTTCCACCCCTGACCAGGCTCCCCCACCGACCCTGTTTTTAGTAAGACTGAATGGATATATAAATATCTTGTTTCTAGTGTTCTTTACTAACTTGTTATTCTCTCTGTGAATTGAGAGTTATCCCCCTTGGTCACTTATGACTTAGGAACCATTTGTAATTTATGGTTAGGAGGGGTGATGATGATTTTAAGTAGGGGTCACCGAATTTGTACACACGTACTAAGAGGGTGTCATTGATTTTGTATATGATAAGCTGGAGGTCGGTGGGGGAGTCACTTCCTTTGTACATAAATTTTAGGGAGGGTCATTCACATTGTACATGCTTCTCCATAAATATCATCATCACCTCTCCTAAATTTTGAACGTTCCCTTCTAGTTCAGGGTGAGTGAGTCGGGTCTGATGTCACTTTTGAATATGGTCCAAAGAAGTGTTATTATTTTTCCTTATCCTGACTCATGATCTTTTGCTTATCTCCCTCTTCTATGCGAATGGTAGTGGAACACTTGAATCCTTTGTAGTTCCCTAAAGCGGATGTAAAAGTACACTCACCCATGAGTTACCTCCCTTCTCCCGGGCAAACAGTCATGTGATCAGCCTTACTTGTCACTCTCTCCCTTTTCGCTGAAAGGTTCGACATTATCCAGGCATCAAATTGACGATTGTACCAGAATTACTTGCTCTGCTGCAATCCTTTTAACTGGCGGACCAGCAAAAGAAATTCAGAGCACCAGCCTGGGATCTGAATGTAATTCTACGTCATCTCATGAGTGATGCCTACGATCCTCTAGAACAGACTATCTTCAAGCGACTCACACAGAAGACTCTGTTTCTACTTGCCCTAGCCACGGCAGCTCGAATGTCTGAGATACATGCGCTGAACTTTGGACGAACTACATTCGACACGGGGCACTGTCCTGCAGTACATCTAGGACTTAGATGGGACTTTATTGCAAAGAATCAACTACCTGGTCAACCAGATAGACAGTTCCATGTACCAGCGCTATCTATGATCCTCGGACCAGTCGATACGCAAGACCTGTCGGAGCCTTGAAGAGATATCTTCAAAAGACTAAAAGAAGGAGAAGGCAATTCAAACACCTATTCATCCCCTTGTCGTCGGAGACAACAGTGGAAGTCTCAAGAACAACAATATCGTTCTGGATGAGAACCGTTATATTGAGAGCCTATAAAGCAGCAGGACTAGAACCTCCAAGAGCTTCCAACCCACAATAATTCAGAGCACTGGCGTCAACACTAGCTCAGTGCATGGAAATTGCTCTATATCAACAATTATGGAGGGCTGCTTTTGGAAGTCGGATACGGTGTTTGCCAACCACTACCTCTGAGACATAGCCACCGCAGACGTCTCTGGCATTCACCAGTTTGGGCCTCTTGTTGTAGCACAACAACTAACGGTTCCACAAAGGCGCTGAGTTGGAAATCTCACCCTTATCACGTTGACTTGTTGATAACTTTTACTAAGGAAAAGTATTAGTTTGAAAGTCCATGCGCACAGTCTAGACTAGGCTAGCATGAGTGATTAAGACTCTGTATGGGTAAAGATCTTACCTGTACGTTAAGGGGTCGCAACTCATTTATGATAAAGATCTTATCATAAGCTATAGGTTATAGTAAAAAGAAGATACTAGTATATCTTAAAGCCACATTAATAGACAAGATTCAACTTGTCGGAGAGTGAACTAAGACAAGATGGTGCCCCCCCCCCCCCAAATTATAACGGAAGTTGGAAGAATAGGAAATGCCATTACGCAGTTCCCATGGGAGGGATACAGGACGTATCTAAGGACAGCTGATGAATCCAGGAAGTGGCCTGACCCACCACCAATCCGTCTGATTCTATAAGCAAAAGATCATGATCAGGATGAGTAAAATATGTAAGGAAAAATTTATACTTATCCTGACTTTCAAGCCCTCCAATTGGAAACACTTCAGATTTCACAGTAGATCCAGGTGCATGGGCAGAAAATCAGGAGAGAGTGACAAGTAAGGCTAGTCACATGATTGTTTACGCAGAAAAAGGGAGGTAACTCGTGGGTGAGTGTACTTTTACGTCCGCTTTGGGAACTACAAAGGATTTAAGTGTTCCACTACCATTCGCATAGGAAAGGGAGATAAGCAAAAGATCATGAGTCAGGATAAGTATAAAATATCAATTTTACTTAAACAATTACATATTTATTCCCCCTGCTGTTTCCCTGCAGGACTACAAGACTGTCAGGAAGCCTACAGCCCATATCCCAATGCCCTGTTGTCAATCCGGTACATCATAGAGGTGGGAAAGATTGTCCTGGCCGACGCCATCATCGAGCCAGGGGAGGTGAAGGAGGGGGATCGGATGCCGCCCAGACACAACATGGATGAACTTAACTTGGTATGTGCTAACTTACGTGTATGTAAATGTGCATTTTGGGGATGAACAGTTTTTCACATACACTGTGCATGTCATTAAAGGTGGTGAAATTGGTGATTGTGAGGCCATTATAGCTATTAAAGTACTCACTTACTCAACTGTGTCAGCAACTAATTCATGTTTTTGAAATAAATGGACACATCTGTGGAAAGAGTTAAAACAAATTCACCAAAAAAGAAACACTCTATTCTGACTGCAGGCAACACGAGAGCTGTATGAGAAGCGTAGCCGTGACGACAGCCACTCCATGCATAGTGCAGCCATCAGCAGCAGCGTGCACGACCTGAGCCCCACCCTGTGGCATGCCCTGGACGTGTGGCGCTGCACCAACCACCTGGGCGGGGGCTTCAACGAGGCGCTGAAGGCCCTGGCTCACTGCGGGCTGGGGCTGGCTGATGAAAGCTGGTAGGGAGTGGTTCATTGTCGTATGTCAGTGTGGCATTTAGAATATTGGTATTCATTACTGATTACTAAGTTCAGTTCAATCTGTCAAATAAGCATTGACCTAATTTCAGTTAGTGTGATTTACCCTTCCCACATGATTTTGCTGAAATTGAAATGCACAATGTTGAATAAAATTCTAAATAAAATTGTTGTTAAATTTCTTGATTGTTGAATCATTGGTTATTAGTTATATGCCTTTACTACAAATGGACATCCCCAGCAGTAACTGTTTGGAATACAGGGGTTCTGGATTAACATGGTGAGGACAAACTAATTTTTCAGCGTATGAGGTATTCCAACTTCTTAACATTCATCGAAGCACATGGCATATAGTGTGCAAACAGAGTATGTTTGCATATGGTACTCAAATGCATATTATTTATGGCAAGTGAAATAATTTCACTCTCTATGCATGCATATCAAGGCTTTAAACATATTTTCTGATTATCTGATAAGATATCATGTGATACCATAATGATAACATTCTTGAACATTCCAGGATTGATGGGATGATGGCCCTGAACATTCTAGCTGAGGCGGCTAAGTCCAACATGACGGCCATGAAGGTGCTGCATCGCCTGGCCCAGGGGCTGCGACCGTCTGATGGAACCCAGACTCCACCCCTCAGCTCTCGATCAGTTGGCTCAGGTAGGGGAGACTTTCATTATACTTCATGCCAACATATTGCGTCCCTTAGGCATGTCAGGATCTGCTGATAACAGGTTTGAATCCCAGGTTCTCCCCATTATGAAGTTTTGATTTTTAACCCCATACCCAGTGATGTTAAGGTTAACCAAAGTGGAGACCTGGAACAACTTGTATCACTTTGGGTGTTCCTCCCTTGCTGTGATGTAACTGAAATTCTGTTCAAAACTGTGTTAAGCCTGAAGGACACTCTTTCTCACTTGGACATGGCGATATATGTGGTGCTTTATTTGAATAATTATTTAAAATATTGAACTAAATATGAAGCATGTACAATGTGAATGACGCCCCTAAGATTTATGTGCAAAGTAAGTGCCCTCTCCCCTTGCATGTCATGTACAAAATCAATGACCAACCCCCTAGTACATGTGTACAAAATTGATCACCCCCTTCCTCCCCAGAAAAATGTGGGTGAACCCCATTATAATCATCAACACCCCACCCCAGCCCCAGCCATAAATTATGAACGGCACCTTGATAACCTACCTTTTGTGTGTGTCAAAAGTAGACATGAAAGTTTGAAACCCACATGAACCCACGTTTGTAATTCATTTTCACAGAAATGATGACAATTTCTAGTGAAGATGAAACAAAATCATCCAAGTCCAAAACAAGCACCAGCTCCAAACAGTCACTAAGTGACATCTATGAGCGCAGTGAAGAAGGTGAGATTGAGAAGAAACGCAGCCATTCTGACCAATCACCTCACAGCACTGACAAGTCACATGACATGCCACCAGATCCCCAATCAACAAGCAGTCCTGCTACGGAACACCAACCCTCGAGGCCCGCCCTGAAGAACACGGCCGACATGCGGCTTCAGTCTCGTGAGGTGTCCTTTGATGATGTGGTCATCCACCGCACTGGCCAGGTCAGGGAGGAGAAGCTGCCCACAACCAGTTTCTCGAGTGGGTCAAAACTAACCCGAGACACACTGCGCAGCAATCAGAGCTCCATGGCGGCTACTGCAGGAACAGGGTGGCGAAGCGGAAGTAGGGTCCAACCTGCCAAGTGCCAGGATGTCCGATGCCAGCTCGGTACCCACGTTCACCAATCTGGCTGTAAGTATTGACGATTTGGATGTGTTGCATGAGAAACCAACCCATGGGCAGATAACATTTATGAGATAAGCTTTCTGTGTAGCTTTTATATGCAATTTCCTCAGTTTAAAAGTAAATTAAGGTAACTAAAAGTAATTTGAGTATAGCGAATACTCTAAGATATACAGTTAATTATAGTTATAACCAACTCAAAAGGCTCAATAATTTTACTTTGTCGTAGCTGTATGTCATGATAGGCATTTTGAGTAAAATATACTGAGGGAAACAAATAAGGGAACACGTGAAGCACAAGTGTTCCTTTATTCTTTTCCAGGTTTCTCCGCAACCTTTGTATTGCACTGTGGGTGCAAATCTGAGAATAAACTGAGGAACACTGCGATGAATGAAGTGATGTTCCCTTATTTGTTTCTCTCAGTATATGTAGGAAGTGGTTGGGACAAAAAAATACTTCAGTTGATTATAAGTGTGTTCATTATAATGTTGACTGTAATGACATCCTAACAATAGGCGTTTCTATTAGTCAGTATTGGTGTTCTCTTCACACTAATTTATACATCAATATCTTTTTACTTGTAAGAACCCTAAGTTTATTTACTGAAATATATAGTGAAGAAAGATCAGGTTGTTATTTTGATTGTTGACTGCATGGTATTGATGATCATCCTTACCTCTGGGGCTGATAATGATAATAGTTTATTCTATTCTCTAAGCATTAAGCCCTCAGGAACATGAGTATTCATCCTCAGGATTCAGTTTCCTGTAACAATTCATTGTTATTAGTAAAAGCCATTGCAAACAAATACATGTATTTAATGCAGTGAGTGAATGTTGTTTTATGGTTTGGTGTAGATCTTGAAGTCTGTGTCAAAATTATATTGTTTATGTACTTATAACAATCAACATACAGGGAAAAATTATGATCCAGAGGGGGTCCCCCTCCCTCTCCCCCAGAAAAATTTCCCTGAGGACCATTTCCCCCTAACCTATTTGGACTTCATGATTTATGTGCACCCCCTTCTCCAAAACCCTGGATCTGGCCCTGATAGACAAAATGATGCCAACTCCTCTTACCCACTGATGGACACTTGTTCTTGTCCTACCAGATGCCGGAGATGGCAGGCCTCCATGGTTGGCACTGGGAGGTCGCCACGACCTACACCGACGTGTTGGCTGATATCTGTATCCATGGCGCCAGTGCTAGCATTCAACGTATGGCAATGGCTGGCGTCAACAAGGACCTTTTGGAGCCAATGAGAAGAGGGTTCACCACAGTGCCGCTGCCTAGCGCAGGTCTCATAGACCTGGTGTACTTCAAGCCTCTGCATGAGGTCAGGGATGGAGGTGTGTAAAGTCTTCTGAACATAAACACTTTACCTCTTCAGTAAATACATGCTTACATAGTGTTAATTAGGTATCACATTTATCTTGTCAATTTACCTATCGAGAATAACATACAGTGTGCAAAAGAACTGAGAGAATGTGTTGATGTGATGTATTGGTATTTTAGTTTAGTGAAAACACTTCCTTTTCCCAGTCTTTGCATGTTATGTTTGTAGACACTGTAGGCCAAAAAATCTTTTCTCATTTTGGACAGAGACAAAATTAACAGAATGTCATTAAATTGTTTGGTTTTAACAATGTAGTTTGATTTGGATATGCATGTAGAACACATAATAAATGTTTAAAAATTAACATACATGCTGCTATGTCATTGGTTAGAATTGGCCTTGTACTAATATTAAAATATAATGAGTGAGTGAGGGAGTTTAGTATTATGCTGCACTCAGCAATATTCCAGCTATATGGTGGGGGCTGTAAATAATCGAGTCAGGACCAGACAATCCAGTGATCAACAGCATGAGCATTGATCTACACAGTCGGGAACTGATGACATGTGTCAACCAAGTCAGCGAGCCTGGCCACCCGATTCCGTTAGTCGCCTCTTACAACAAGCATGGGTTACTGAAGATCAATTCTAACCCGGATCTTCAGGGGTTAAAATATATAAATGAACAAAGCACTGTACGTTCTACAGAACTCATTTCAATAGCATAGACTTTGGTCGTCACACCACTAAGATCAAAGTGTGAAAGTAGGCCAGAAATGGTTGAAAAGGACCTTTCTGTCTATGTGGTTCATGGGTACTGCAAGAAATGTCTTCTCTTGGTATTTAATACAAACGTATGTATAAACACCATGCATGTCATTCATGTGAAACGATACAGAATAGCTGCATTATCATCACATCCTGTGTTGCCAGCTTCTATTTTAGCTTTTAAGAAGTCTTAGTTTCTGATAGTTAGTGTTGTGTACTTCTCCTGTCAGGCCCAAATGACTGGAGCTGGAGGATTCGGTACGGTGCCATCCAGTCCTTGGTCAAGATTTGCAGATGTCTGGCCAAAGACCAGAACCGAGAAGGAATCCGGAACGCTGCGTGGAACACTCTCATCAAGGCACACTCTCATGAGAAGGACGATCGAGTCTTGGAGGCTCTGAAAGTGGGACAGGTGATGGGAGTTTTATTGACATCTTCAAAGGTGTCTCTTCATGTTAACCTTCCAGACTATCATTATTAGCATCATGATGAGGATACAAACTATGAATTTGGAATATGTCTCTCGGAACATGCAAATAAGATAACTTGATATTTTTGTATGGAAATGAGGATTCAGTTTACTTATGAACATAGATGTAAAGGTGCCATCTTTATGGGATACGTCCACTTCTTGATTTGTTTAACTCTCTTCTTATGAAAGTCTATTTGAGACCCGTCCAACTGTCTGGCCTTTGGTTTAAGGCTGATTCTATTACCTGAACACATCTGTGATACGGGGCGGTAGGGTAGCCTAGTGGTTAAAGTGTTCGCTCGTCACACTGAAGACCCAGGTTCAATACCCCACATGGGTACAATGTGCGCAGCCCATTTCTCATGTCCCCCGCCATGATATTGCTAGAATATTGCTAAAAGTGGCATAAAACTAAACTAACTCACTCACTGTGATACAAGGAATGCTCACTGCATCCAGGCCATATTGCATCTAACCTTCCTTCAAATTTGTTAAAAAAAATTTTTAAAGACAAAGTAGTTACCTCCATTGACTAAACCAGGATCAGATGAGGTTTGTGTCCCAACTCACTCTCTTAAAAAGATGGTGTTTGTTTCCAGGTCCACACAGACATCGAGAGCATCCTGAGCAAGCAGCTGCACGTCCAACCCTCCTCTATAGGGAGCCGCATTGCCCATGGGCTGTCTGTCGTATACCTACCTCCCTCCCCCACCCGGGGAGCAAAGGCCACTGAAAAAGTCAGCCCCCAGGAAGAAGGTTCCCCTCAGACATGAGATAGGGCCTAAGATATCATGCCAACCTTTGAGGACCTCTCTCAAGTAAGGAATCTCCTTGTTTGTGCAAGGGTTAATGATTAAAGGTCTTCATCAATCACTTTAGTTTGACTTCCAGATCATGTAGCATAAATACATCATGATTTTAGACGATCTCCTCTTGCACATGAAAATTGTAATGACTCTGTGAAATTTTTGTTTAGAATTGTCTAAGACTTAAGTATTTCTTTACATGTAAGTACCATTGTGTTGTGTTTCTAGTGTAACTTATCATCTACACTTCTCAACTTCTGAACATAATTATGTTCTTTCATGAACACTATGCTAAATGTGAAAAGTTACTTTAAAATTTGTTCAGAGGTGATAAATTTCAATGACAAAAGAATCATTATGTTCTTTCATGAACACTGTGCTAAATGTAAAAAGCTACCCTCAGAAATGTTTTGTGTGTAGTGTGATTGGGTGATTCTCTGCCCAATGTTTTCCCGCTAGAATTGTGTCATGCTTTTACTGAATTCACCTGGTTGATGCTCCTTGAGATTGTCTCCTTAAAATAGACGAGTGGATAATTCCATCATGGTTTTGGTTTGTAACGTAGGTCAGATTTACCCATATAATGAACTGTGTTTATGTGACAGAGAGGAGATAATGTTGGCTACTGCCTTGTACGAGCCTGCCGTCAAATTCAACACCCGCACCACCTTTGACCTGCGGAGGATCGTTGAGGATCAGGTGAGCTTTCTTCTAGAAGTGGGTTCCTACCATGAAATTTGAGAAGGGTCCATGGATGTTTTGTGTGTTATTTGATGTTGATGGCATGATGCTGACATCAACCTCTTGTGATTCAGGCATAGTCTGGGGCATTGGGATAGCCTAGTGGTTAAGGTGTTTGCTCGTCACGCCGAAGAACTGGGTACAATGTGTGAAGCCTATTTCCAGTGTCCCCTGCCGTGCTATTGCTGGAATATTGCTAAAAGCGGCGTAAAACTCACTCACTCTCACTCACTCACTCACTCACTCACTCACTCACTCACTCACTCACTCACTCACTCACTCACTCACTCACTCACTCACTCACTCACTCACTCACTCACTCACTCACTCACTCACTCACTCACCACCACACTCACCTCACTCACTCACCTCACTCACTCACTCTCCTCACTCACTCTCACTCACACTCACCACCACTCACTCACTCACTCACTCACTCACTCACTCACTCACTCACTCACTCACTCACATTAGTTAAGCCATCATCTAATACTAGTAACATGACGTCCTTATTAAACCAAACCCTCACTCTGCAGAAATCGTCATAGTCTTCATCATAGTCTTGATCAATATAGCTGTAACACTGATGGCTGTGGTGATAAACAAACACTAATGGACTCTTAATGTTAATGTTTGTGGTCACAGAATCTCTTTTGATCTGTTGGTTTAATATCACCATTACTTGTACTATTATATACTTGTGTGCATTAGTTACACAGTAACAGCAGTAACCTTTCATAGTGATATTGCTACTTGTTTTAGTCACGAAGGAAATGGGAATGTTAATTGGTTGGTTAATTTTAGCTTTAAAATCCACACCCAGACATTAATCAGTGACAGCAGAAACTGAGTCATGGGTATTTACTATAGCATACTGCATGGATATATAATGGACATATATAATGGACAAAATGCCTATATATCATGGACATATATAATGGACAAAATGCCTATATATCATGGACATATATAATGGACAAAATGCCTATATATCATGGACATATATATTGGACAAAATGCCTATATATCATGGACATATATAATGGACAAGATGCCTATATATCATGGACAAATATATGTCATGGACATATAAATGGACAAAATGCCTATATATCATGGACATGGACAAAATATAATGGCCAAAATGCCTATATTCATGGACATATATATGGACAAAATGCCTATATATCATGGACATATATAATATGCCTATATATCATGGACTTATGGAAACCTGATAAGTAAATGTCAAGGGAATCGCCAAAATTGTTTACTTATCAGGCATTTTATTTATCCAAACTTATAAAACCTGTAACGACAACCATATGCATGTACATGTATATGTATGCATATGTAACAATGAACAACTTATCAGGGCTGGCCTCCAGTTGTCAGTGTATTGTCAACTGCTTGACGCCAGCGAGCTGTAAACAGGATGTTTGTTTGACTGGAGACTGACACGACTGCCCCTCATGTCGGATTATGTGGTGATCGCTAATTTAGTTATCCAGTCTCTTTTGTTAAGTAATTTACTTCCAGGGACCGTGAGAAGACGTTTAGTTAAGCGGTATTGTTTACTTATCTGAGTTTAGTTAACCAGACTCTAATAGTGATAATTAATGAAGAAAGTTGCCAGGACCAAAGAAAAGTGTTTACTTATCAGGTCTGTTTAGTTAAGCGGTCTTTACTTAGGCGGTTTCCACTGTATATAATGGACAAAATGCCTATATATCATGGACATATATAATGGACAAAATGCCTATATACCATGGACATATATAATGGACAAAATGGACATCATGGACATGTAAAGTCACACTCACTCACTCACATCATCTTCCACAGTGGCGGAAGGAACTCCAGACCCAACAAGAGGAGGAGGAGGTGGAACGTCAGAGACACCTTACAGAGCAGCAGGAGTTGGCCGAGCAACACCAGCGGCAGAAAGCAGACAGGAAGTTCCAGAAGCTTCACAAACAGGACGAGGTGTCCCCAAGCTCCTCCGACACTTCCCTCGCTTCACAGACCTAGAGGAGGGGTGGTGTATAGGACGGTGCTGATCCTGGGGGTCAGGTCATGTGGAATTGGCAACTTGGGTTCAAATGACATCTAACTAAAGTATTCTCTTTTCCTGAGCAGTGTCAACTCCTGGATCAGTAGAAAGGGTTGTTATAGCATTCTGTGTTACATCCTGTTCTATATATTAAGAATAGATTGTGTGTATAACATGTAATTCAGTAGATGGTACTGAAACTGGAAACGAAATTGTTTGTTAATGGTTTGGGAAGATACATTTTCTGGTTTGACTCAGTATTGTCTGCTATACATGTGTTTTATATTTTACAATATTTCACTATTATAATTACATTGTATGTGATCTTAAAATGTTAAATAAATGCAACCATTAATTCATATATCTTTGAGTAAGCACTAAAATATGTGATTGTAAGTTGTTATGATATTGAAATTGTATGGTTTTTTTAACGATGAGACATACAGAGGGTTGTTTACAGTTAAAAAGATATATAATTGCATTAATTAATCAGCACAGAGGACGATGGACAGTGTCAGATTGTGCAGTGTTCAGTTTGGCCTGGCTCCATTTCCACAGTGATCTTTGTTGTAAAACGTCAGAGTTGTTATTAATAATCTTCAGTTGACAGTCATTATGCTAAGACCACTTTGAGAAACAGGTCCCTGGTAATTGTTGTCTGTATTGCAGTGTTATGTGTATGAAGTATAGATGTGTTTCTGTCATTTTGTATTTTTAGAATTTTTTATCTGAAGTGGAGAACAACTTTTTATCTTTTGGTGTACTATTTGACTGATTTACATTCTAGTCAAGTGATTATGAATAATAAATAATTCATGTGTATGTATGTATATATTTATATCTAACCATCTATATAATTATTCTTGTCAGTTATGATAGCACAAACCACCATTCATTTTAGCTTCTTGTACATGAGATCACATGATTTCAAATATGATAGTTTCTTCCCAATACTGATGTCCATTGCCAAAATGTTTACAAATATATTGTCATAATTTTTATGAAACATTTATTGATTTTTACTTTACGTGATTCTCTCTGTGATACAGTATCTTTTATACTGGAAGAAAGTGAATCTTTAACCAGGTTATAATAAACACGTGATACAGAAATATTAGTTGTTTTTCATGTTAAGTAAGACTGGCCAAATCAGAGTGTAAGGACATCTGGGTACATTTCTGAATTGTTACAAATCGATACGATTGGTTGGTTGGTTGTTTAATGCCGCACTCAGCAATATTCCAGCTATACTGGGGCAATCTGTACATAATCGAATTAGGACCGGACAATCCAGTGATCAACAACATGAGCATCGATCTGTCCAATTGGGATACCGTGACATGTGTCAACCAAGTCAGCGAGCCTGACCAACCTGACCACCTGATCCGTTAATCGCCTCTTACCACAATCATGGATTACTGAAGATCAATTCTAAGCCAGATCCTCACGGGTTTCAAAAAGATACGAAGCTAGCAAACCTGTTATTAGTAAATGTTGACTATGATGTTACAATCATAATGACGAAGTAGGATACACACAGTAATTCAGGAGAACAGGTGCCCAGTAAGGGGTGGGTACACAGGTTCAGGTTGATGGGGAGCAGTCAGGACCCAAATGACTTCAGTAGTTGCTCATGTCTTCAGTCTCAGGTTTTGCTGGTGGAAACACAATTACTACTAGCCATGCTGATATTACATTAAACAAAGTTTATAACAATCAGGTGACGGATATCCCCAACTGTTTTGGTCCTGAGTGTCCCCTGTATATTTTAGTCGAAATGTGTATAAGGAACTAGTACAGTTACAACTGGAAGGAAAGAAAATTAATGTTCCCCTTGAGTTCGTTATAACCTTTACTTTACAATAGCTGGTTAGACACTTCACGAACGTTTTATTGTAAAATGCGGATATAAAGGAATCATCTTATCCCAATTGCCTAGATGGATGCTCATGCTGTTGATCACTGGACTGTCAGGTCAAGACTCTAGTATTTTCAAACCACCGCCATATACCATAAATTATTGCTGTGTGTGGCGTTAAACAAAAAATAAATTAAAAAAACACAAAGATGAAAGTATAATATTATTCCTGTATTGATTCCTTCGACTGCTCCGAGATTCATGTATGTGATAACATTTCGATATAAGCTCCTGTGTAAGAAGGGCGGTGCGGTAGCCTTGTGGTTAAAGCGTCCGCTCGTCACGCTGAGTACAATGTGTGAAGCCCATTGCTGTGTCTCCCCGCTGTGATGTTACTGGAATATGGGGTGGAATATTGACTTAGTGAAAAGTGAAAGGTCCGGTGTGCCTGCAGTTTAAATAGGCTTTGTGGTCTTGAAGAGGCCATGAGCATTTTATGTGTGTCTGATGTCTTATATACAATGGGCTCCCAATATACGGCAACAGCTTGGTATTTGTGTTTAGTCTCTTGTATTCACGAACTTCAATTGAATGGCACTTTAATGTAAAGTAGAGTATTATAACAAGGACATCAGATCAGCTAAAAAGTGATTTCAAGTAGAACAGGCATTTGTTTGTCCACTGTTTATGTGTTTTGAAATATATTGCAAATGGATATGGCATTGAGCACCAGGGAGGCGCAGGTAGGCCCAGAAAATTGTCTGTCGGTGACAGGAGGCGGCTTGGTATTCTTGTTTCTAAAAACAAACGAAGGAGTTTAGAAAACTTAAGGCTGGATATATTTGATAGAGGAACTGTGGCTGTCTGTAAGGAGACAATTAGGACTGAGCTACATGCAATGGGTTGGCAGAAAATTCCATCACCGATCATGAAACCTGAACAAAAGGAGCGAAGGTTGAACTGGTGCTTACAGCATAGAAATTTAACTGGGACAATGTGATTTTCTCAGATGAAAGTTCTGTGTGGCTGTTTCCTAATACACTGAAATTCTGGACCAAACAAACTGAAAAACCTCGAGTATCAGCGCCCAAAGTAGTTGAAAGTACAGTCGGAAATTTAACATGTGGGGTGGCATATCTGTGTTAGGGGCAACGCCCCTCTGTGTATTTGAAGGGAATATGAACAGTGAGCGGTACACAGATATTCTCGAGGGACATTTACTTCCATCTGCTCACGTGTTCTATGGAAAGTTTTTTATTTTCCAACAGAACAACGACCCAAAACATCGTTCAAAGCATTCACAGGCCTGGTTTCGTACCCAAAATATGACATTATTAGATTAGCCAAGCTATAGCCCTGACCTAAATCCAATAGAAAATGTTTGGGGACTTATGAAGGAAAGTGTCAATAAGAAAAATCTGACAAATATTGCTGAAATGAAAGAAAAGGTGGTCCGATATTGGGACAGCATGGACCACGACTTTCTAACGTCTTTGATCAGTAGTGTGCACCGCCGCATTGAAGCCTGCATTGCTGCCCATGGTGACTTGACAAAATACTAACTGTTCACCTGTCTTTGAATCTGAAGTTATGTTCTGCTAATATTCACACTTAATACCTGAGTAATGAGTGAAAAAAATAAAAAAATTACAATCTCTAAATTCTCAATAATTTCTGGTTGTACTGTAAGTCAGCGAGCCTGACGAGCCAGACCACCCGATCCGTTAATCGCCTCTTACCACAATCATTGATTACTGAAGATCAATTCTAACCCGGATCTTCACGGGTCTCAAATAGATACGAAGCTAGCACACCTGTTATTAGTAAATGTTGACTATGATGTTACAATCATAATGACGTCACATTGTACTACAAGTAGGATACACACAGTAATTCAGGAGAGCAGGTGCCCGGTAAAAGGGGTGGGTACACAGGTTCAGGTTGATGGGGGAGCAGTCAGGACCCAATGACTTCGGTAGTTGCTCATGTCTTCAGTCTCTGGTTTTGCTGGTGGAAACACAATTACTACTAGCTGCGCTGATATAACAATCAGGTGACGGATATACCCAACTGTTTTGGGTCCTGAGTGTCCCCTGTATATTTTAGTGGAAATGTGTATAACGAACTAGTACAGTTACAACTTGAAGGAAAGAAAATTAATGTTCCCCTTGAGTTCGTTATAACCTTTACTTTACAATAGCTGGTTGGACACTATTCACGAACGTTTTATTGTAAAATGCGGATATAAAGGAATCATCTTATCCCAATTGCCTAGATGGATGCTCATGCTGTTGATCACTGGACTGTCAGGTCAAGACTCTATTATTTTCAAACCACCGCCATATACCATAAATTATTGCTGTGTGTGGCGTTAAACAAAAAATAAACTTTTAAAAACACAAAGATGAAAGTATAATTATTTTCCTGTATCGATTCCTTCGACTGCTCCGAGATTCATGTATGTGATAACATTTCGATATAAGCTCCTGTGTAAGAAGGGGCGGTGCGGTAGCCTTGTGGTTAAAGCGTCCGCTCGTCACGCTGAGTACAATGTGTGAAGCCCATTGCTGTGTCCCCCGCTGTGATGTTACTGGAATATGACTAAAAGCGGCGTAAAACTAAACTCACTGACTTAGTGAAAAGTGAAAGGTCCGGTGTGCCTGCAGTTTAAATAGGCTTCGTGGTCGTGAAGAGGCCATGAGCATTTTATGTGTGTCTGATGTCTTATATACAATGGGCTCCCAATATACGGCAACAGCTTGGCATTTGTGTTTAGTCTCTTGTATTCACGAACTTCAATTGAATGGCACTTTAATGTAAAGTAGCTCGCAGATAATGCGGTAATATCGATCAAAGTCAATATAACGGCTTCTTGTTCGAGACACGCCCGCGCCATGGATGAAGACATGTCAAGGGTATAACTACCCTGTTTTGGGATGCGCTGAGGTAGCTACTCATTAACAATTGGAGTTTTTAACATTAGCTGATCAAGGATCTGAAGATTCGACAAGAAAGGTAATATATTTAAATCAATATCTGAAGCATTTGATCTGATATAATCGACATTTTGTAAACAGCAATTGGGTTTAGTCAAGATGGCGTCTCGTTCAAAGAGTTCACTGTAAATATGATTGATATGCATGTAGAAAAGTAATCCATTCTGTTCAATGTATTTTTCTATAGCATATGTAGCTTATTGATTGAAGAACATTTTAATAGACGTGCTAATGAGATATATGACAAGTTAACCCGGATTAGGGGCGTCCGGAATCCGAAATAGAGTCTCCAAGATAAGGAATGACAATAGGAATTACAAGTCTTTATGGATGGTCAGCTTCTTTATTGTACAATAGCGACGTTTCGGTATAGATGCTTATACCCCATGAAGTGATGAATGAGTACAGCCGGATATAGACTGAGGGAAAAAAAATAAGGGGTCACGTGAGAGCACAAGTGTTCCTTTATTTGTATTCCAGGTTTCTTCACAAGCGATGCGATACAACGCTTGTGAAGAAACCTGGAAATCCTGGAAAATAAGGAACACTTGGATATATATATATATATATATATAGAGAGAGAGAGAGAGAGAGAGAGAGAGAGAGAGAGAGAGAGAGAGAGAGAGAGAGAGAGAGAGAGAGAGAGAGAGAGAGAGTGTGTACATGAGGGCTAACAAAGACAATGGATGATAGAACAAGATGATTAACAATGAAAACAAGCATAACTATACATCCCACGTCGCTATTGTACATCAAGAAGTTGATCATCCATAAACACTTGTCATTCCTAGTGCTCACAGCTTCTAGATTGATTCTCAAACAGTTCCCCAACACAAGGTTTTCATGGATGGGTCTCATCACACGCATAGACGTGTGGTCTTGCCAGAAATTAATCTCAATGTCACTTGGTATTTTTCAAGAATTTCATCTTTATACTTCTGGTTCATCTATATTAGATTTATTTAATTGATTATTTCACGTTTTTCAGAAAAATGGCTAAATCGGTGTCGAGCTATGAGCCTTTGGATGGTAAGTACACGAACCAGATATATGCTACTCAACAATTAAAAGGGACATTCTGATGTGTCATATTGTTACCACACAAAAGGACATCGGTTTATTGATTATGTACTGGTGTTAAATTAACTCGAAAACAAGTGTTACATACTGAAATTCCTCATCAAGTTTGTATACTGTTCGTATGACAAAATCTGTTTGTTATAAGTCACGTTCAGTCACGACACCTGTCTATAAAAAAATGAATAGTCTACCTACAAAGAGTTTAATGGGTTTCTATTTGATACGATGTGCATGTATCTTCCATGTATGTTACACCGTAATACGTTCATTGACTATGATAGTATATGATATTACAATTTCCATGTGTCCATCTCATTAAAGGACATGAACCAAATAGATATTTTGGACCCAATAACTCTATCTTATATAAATGGATGCATGAAGTATGAAACAAGACCAGTTTGTCCTGGTAAAGTTATGAAAACTTTATAATTATGTTAATATTGTTCGCAAGACTGACATAGACAGTTTTTCACCTCTCATCTGCAAGTATTGGACTTCACGTGGACGCTCTTCTCTTTCACTCAGTATGTTTATGTCTCAGATTTACGGTGGGTTGTTTTTGTTGTTTTGTTGTTGTTGTTTACCACCCCACTCAACAGAACTACAGTTATACAACAGTGGTCTGTAAATATTTCTTCAGGGCCAGGTAATCAATTGACTGACATTATCAGTATCGATCCACGCAATGGAGATGCGTTGACATGCATTCAACAAAAAGCCATCAAGCCTGACTACCTGATACATTTAGTTGACTGGGGACCGTGTTCGTATTCTGAATCCCCACTGGATGACTCAGGATCTGGCTTACTGTAGAAGTAACTATATGTCTGTCATGAGCGAGAGAGTGAGTGAGTTTAGTTTTACGCCGCACTCAGCAATATTCCAGCTATATGGCGGCGGTCTGTAAATAATCGAGTCTGGACCAGACAATCCAGTGATCAACAGCATGAGCATCAATCTGCGCAACTGGGATACGATGACATGTGTCAACCAAGTCAGCAAGCCTGACCACCCGATCCCGTTAGTCGCCTCTTACGACAAGCATGGGTTACTGAAGATCAATATTCTAACCCGGACCTTCACGGGTACATGAGCGAGAGAGGACTGCTTGTCTTTGTTATACATTCAAATATTTGCTTATGTTCCAACACTAGAAAAACGATTCCTGAAAACTTCGAAAATCAGTCCTCTATCATTTTTGCCTTTTCTCTGCGTATGGTGCTGTTTGAGTCGTTAAAAGGGTGTAGGGACGAAATCTCATTCATGTGAACACATGAAAACCTCTGTAAAAAGTCCATGATTCATAAGATATGAAGGGGCGGTGGGGTAGCGCAGTGGTTAAAGCGTTCGCTCGTCACACTGAAGATCCGGGTTCGATTTCCCACATGGATACAATGTGTGAAGCCAATTTCTGGTGTCCCCCAGCGTGACATTGCTGGAATATTGCTAAACCATACTCACTCACTCATAAGATATGCAAATATAGTGTGCAAAAACAGGTTCTTCTCGCACCAATATCTCGTCCCTGGCATACAAGTGGATAATATGTGAACGTTAAACATTCAAATATGCATGAACGTGTCATGTGAATTTAAATTTTCTTAGTGAATATTTCATAGTGTGAAGGACTAACGGGATCGGGTGGTCATGCTCGCTGGCTTGGTTGAGACATGTCATCGGTTCCCAATTCCACAGATCGATGCTCATGCTGTTGATCACTGTATTGTCTGGTCCAGGCTCGATTATTTACAGACCGTCGCTATATAGCTGGAATATTGCTGAGTGCGGCGTAAAACTAAACTCAGTCACTCAATCAATCACTCATAGTGTGAGTTATACTTTTCATGGAAGTTTGTAAATGTTGATTATTGTGCATGGCAACAATAAAAGATACATACAGAAGATGCTTCAGTCGACATGAAAATTCGTGTTCTATATTCCGGTAAGGATCTGGAAAATAAGATGAGTATTAGATCTTGCCTTTGAATCACAACCATGAGAATGTGGTGTTTCTGACAGTTTCTTCTTGTTACAGAGGGTGAGGTGACCAAGACCGAGGCAAAGGATGGTGAGATACATCAGACCACAGTCACTGCATCGTTATTGTTTATCTCCTTATTGATAAGCAATTGTCAGATAAATGAGTCAAAAGCATATTTATACATCGTCCATTAAGTATATACAGACTCTTATATGTGCATACATGCTTTAAAGACTGTTCACAAAAACGGATAATTTATTCGAAAATTATCCCTTTTCTTAATATATTACAAGTAACATGTCGCTATCACCAGAAGCAGATGCATGACTTTCATCCTTATGGGCATGCCATTCTACACAAGATATCAGAAACATAGTCAGTATGTAGCTCATGACAGAGATAGTGCTGACTATTCTTCTTCTTAGCAACAATCAGTGCTTAGCTTAAGGATCCAGATCATTGCTTCCTGTCCCAATTCGCCTTGATCCGAATTGTCAAGACACCACTCATCACATCGCCACTCATCACACGCGCCACTCATCACATCATCACTCATCACATCACCACTCATCACATCATCACTCATCACATCATCACTCATCACATCATCACTCATCACATCATCATCATCACATCATCACTCATCATCATCATCATCACATCATCACTCATCACATCGCATCATCATCACTCATCACATCATCACTCATCATCACTCATCATCACATCATCACATCATCACTATCACTCACTCATCACTCATCATCATCGCCACTCATCACATCATCACTCATCACACTCATCACTCATCACATCATCACTCATCACATCATCACTCATCACATCGTCATCATCATCATCATCACTCATCACTACTCATCACTCATCACGTCATCATCATCATCACATCATCACTCATCACATCATCACTCATCACATCATCACTCATCACATCATCACTCATCACATCATCACATCATCACATCATCATCTCATCACTCATCACATCATCACATCATCAATCATCACTCATCAGATCATCACATCAGATCATCACTCATCACATCACATCATCACATCATCATCATCACATCATCACTCATCACATCATCACTCATCACATCATCACTCGTCATCATCGTCATCACATCGTCACTCGTCGTCGCATCGTCATCACTCATCAATCATCACTCATCACATCATCGTCATCATCACTCATCATCATCATCGTCATCATCATCATCACATCATCATCATCATCATCATCACTCATCACATCATCTCATCATCACATCATCATCATCACATCATCATCATCTCATCACATCATCACATCATCATCATCATCATCATCACATCATCATCACTCATCATCATATCATCGTCATCATCGTCATCATCATCGCGTCGTCATCATCATCATCACATCATCGCATCATCATCACTCATCATCATCATCATCATCATCATCATCATCATCATCGCCATCATCATCATCATCATCATCATCATCATCACATCATCATCATCACATCATCACTCATCACATCATCACTCATCACATCATCATCATCGTCATCATCACATTCATCACATCATCACTCATCACATCATCATCATCATCATCGTCATCATCGTCACTCATCACATCATCATCATCGTCATCATCATCATCTCATCACATCATCATCATCATCATCATCATCATCATCGCATCATCGTCATCATCATCATCATCATCATCATCATCATCATCATCATCATCATCATCATCATCATATCATCATCATCATCATCATCACATCATCACATCATCATCATCATCATCATCACATCATCACATCATCATCATCATCATCATCATCATCATCATCATCACATCATCATCACTCATCTCATCATCATCATCATCATCATCATCATCATCACATCATCACATCATCATCATCATCATCATCACATCATCACTCATCATCATCATCATCATCATCATCGCCATCATCATCATCATCATCACTCATCATCATCATCACATCATCATCATCATCACTCATCGCATCATCATCATCATCACTCATCACATCATCATCATCACATCATCACTCATCACATCATCATCATCATCACTCATCACATCATCATCTCATCATCGCCATTCATCACATCATCATCATCATCATCATCATCATCATCATCATCATCATCATCATCTCATCACATCATCACATCATCATCATCATCATCATCACATCATCACTCATCACATCATCATCATCATCATCATCATCATCATCATCATCATCACATCATCACTCATCATCATCATCATCATCACATCATCACTCATCACATCGCCACTCATCACATCATCACATCATCACATCATCACATCATCACATCATCACTCATCATCATCATCACTCATCGCATCATCACTCATCATCGCCTCATCATCATCATCATCCTCATCATCATCATCATCATCATCATCTCTCATCAGCATCATCACTCATCACATCATCACTCATCACATCATCACTCATCACATCCATCACTCATCATATCATCACTCATCACATCATCATCATCATCATCATCATCATCACTCATCATCATCGCCACTCATCATCATCATCATCATCACATCATCATCATCATCATCATCATCACTCATCGCCACTCATCACATCATTGCATCATCGCATCATCACGCATCATATCATCACTCATCACATCATCACATCATCACATCATCACATCCCTATTTTTCTATGTGATACACCCAAATGTCACGTATTTCGGTATATCCCTAATACAAAATGTTTCTTTTCAGTGTTTCTCAACGTGATCAGCACCCTTGGGATATTGTTGTTTGCGGGGATGATAGTTGTCGGTAGGTCACAACCTGTCCCATATTGTATTTACAAATGATAACTTTTTCAGAAGGGAACCATTTAAAAAGACTGGAATAAACAATATTTAAGGTAATTGAAAGGATGCTGACTGTGACCTTGACACATCTAAGAAATGACCTTCACTTTGTGTGAGTACATGGGAGCATAAAAGTCGGTAGCTCCGGAGTGTAGTCTCTTGTGACCGACCTCTCGTCCAATGGAATTTCATGAAAAATTCTACATTAAAATATATGTGATCATGACCTTTCCTGGCTGTTGGCTTGTAGACATTCAGGATCACATAGGTCAACAGTACACCCTGCCTGTCGAACAATCTGAATCGAGTGTTTACAAATACGTGTCATCTTATCCGAACTGTGAGGATCGTTTGTCGTGCTTTAAGCACCGGTTTCTCCGATACAGATTTATGTTCGGCCCCGCTCATTTTCTTACTGGCTGCTGTATTCCTTTGCCTTTGCAAAATTTAGACGTGGTATTGCACCTTTAAGAACTGAATCAGGCCGATATGTTAACTTTGGTCAAATCTTGAAGACCGAGTATGTTTTAATAATGCCTATATGTATACCAAAGAAGGAGAACGTCTTCTATTTCAATGTCCATTATACGATGATTTTCCTTACACGTGCACAACGACTGAAATGCCTAATATTGTGTATGTTAATATAATAACGCAGAAAGTATTTGATATGTTATATGGGCAAATGTGTTCTATCTGCACACAATGTTTAAACCTATGTCATTTCCCATAATGTTATGTATTGCCTATGTGTAAACTCCTATTTCATGAATGTTCTATTTTTCATTGATGTACAGCTGTGACACGATGTACATATCTGTCTGTCTCTCTTTCCCCTAGCTGTGATATTCTTCAACGAGTGTCCGACCCAACCCTACCTCTCCATATACATGATCGTCCAGGGATCTGTGTCCATCACCATGCCCATCCTGTTCCTCGTCAAGTACAGGATGGGCGTTGGCATCAAGCGGATCAACTTTCTCACCTATGTCGTTACTGTCGCCGTCCTTTCCTTCGGCTGGTTCTGCGCAGGTATGTCGAATATAACGAAGGTATGCATAATTCGAAGCATGTTCCTGAACAAATGTCGTAAAATCTCGAAATTCCCCTGTGATCAATTTTGTTTCGGGGTAAAAGACGTAATGCTTAATATGGGATCATCAGAGCCAGTTTGGAAACTGGATTGGTAGAATTAATAGTTAGGAATCAATGTGTTCATGCATCCGATCGTGCGCCTGTGCGTGTATGTGCATGTGTGTACGCGTGCGTGCGTGTGCGTGTGTATGTTTGCCGGTGTTCGAAGATATTTTATATCCAAGCTCCATATGCTTTTATGCTCTTCTATTTCGCTATGCTCATTTCATAGTTTAAAACAGCTTTTCCGAATGTTGTCGAGTTTTAATTACACACGCTAAATAAAGAAACCGACTTCAATACATGTAGACATCGGGTGCAGTCACTAATCTCATCATGGTACCTTCTATGTCACCGTGTATGTAGAGCTATCTAGTCACGCCATTGACCCCGTCCTCTCGGCCTCCACAATTCCCGTACATCCCTTGAGTTGCACCCCCTTGACACATTAGAAATCGATGATTTTGGGATCAAACCCGGTTTGGTCTGATTATGCTTCTGTTTGTCCGCATCACACCCCTGGGACAGGCATCACACCCCTGGGACAGACATCACACCCCTGGGACAGGCATCGCCAGGGGCTTTCCTCCAACAACAGTGTTAAACCCAACTCACTCACTCACTCACTCACACACACACACACACACACACACACACACACACACACACACACACACACACACACACACACACACACACACACACACACACTCACTCACTCACTCACTCACTCACTCACTCACTCACTCACATACATTAGTTAAGTCATCATCTAATAACATGACGTCCTTATTAAACCAAACCCTCACTCTGCAGAAATCGTCCCGGTAATTTGTTTCTTGCTTGACCTTGCAGGTACCTACTGGCTGATGTCGGCGGGATGTCCCCAGGCCTTCTTGTACAGGGCAGCCATTGGGTTCCTGGTGCCAGTGTGGATTATCGCCCTAACCTGTATTATTGCCTTTATATGGGCATGCTGTAGAAAAGAAGAACATTCTCCTTAAAGTCATCACTTTAAACTCTCAACTGTTGCAGTTATGCGTTTAATAGCCTTTGTATTTGAGACGATGGGACATTATTGAATGTATATTGGTGTGATGGACATCCTAAAACGCCCAGTCATTACTTTGGCTGGTACGAAGTTATTAGCTGCATGTGTTCCAAACATGCATTTATTACCTAGACAATTGTGTTTGCTTTAAAAATCAATACAATTTCATGTCCATACGGCGTCCCGTTATAGTTCTATAAAGTGTCATATGTTGTATAACAAGCCTGCACAGGTTTATGTACCATACAGAAATGATCCCAATGTTAGTGGTGTGTACACATATTGCTCATCAGCAATTCTGAACGTTATTTAAACTGCATTAGTTCATGTGTTAATGCCACTCAAAGTGATCACTGAACATACTAGGGCATGTTTTTATGATAGATGATAATGCTGCTTATGTATGTTTTAGCATTCCCTTTCTTGATTCAAGCTGTATTAAAGTGTTAATATTAAATAAATTACGTATTTTTACACCCGAAACTATTTGAGCTCCACTGAACAGAGTTATATTTTGTCATTCCCTTCTTGATTCAAGCTGTATTAAAGTGTTAATATTAAATAAATTACGTATTTTTACACCCGGAACTATTTGAGCTCCACTGAACAGACTTATGTTTTGGCATTCCCTTCTTGATTAAAGCTGTATTAAAGTGTTAATATTAAATAAATTACGTATTTTTACACCCGGAACTATTTGAGCTCCACTGAATAGACTCAGTTATTCAGCATTATTCTCTTTTGAGCACTTATCTTTGTAAATATACTTGTCATGTACTGATACTGAGAACAACGGCAAGGGCGTACTGAGGTCTAACAAGTAATGTTTTATTTGATACTGCTTTACAGGCGTTAACGAACATTGGACTTTCATTTGGTTTGGTTCGCTGTTTTACGCTACACTCAGCAGTATATCATGTATATGGCGGTAGTCTGTAAATGATAGAGTCTGGACCAGACAGTCCAGTGATCAACTGCATGAGCATCAATATACGCAACTGGGATACGATGACGTGTCAACCAAGACAGCGAGCCTGACCACCCGATCCCGTTGGTAGCCTCATAGACCATGCATGAGTTATTTAAGGCCAACTCTAACCCATATCTTCACGGGTGCACCTGACTTTGATGTTCTTATAGCTGTACATATGTTCATGTCTAAAGACTTGATCTTTATTTCGTTCAATGTCTGTTATTCAGTCTGGCCTTTACTACTTACCTGTCTTATTGTGCATATGTTTGTTATTGAATGTTAATACCATTATAGTGAAGTTTAAATGACAATCTAAGGTTAGGAAGCAGTGGACCTTCCTTTCATTGATGTAACAATGTCGGAGTAAAGGTAATGAACTGTATGGTTAATAGCGTTGTGTGTATTTACAGAGTGAAGGGTGTGTGGTGTTATACACTGAAGAGGGGACAGGAAATCCTGCAGTCACCAGTGTTTAACTCTACTCAGGGCTATATTATTACACAATGCCATTTAGAAATTGATGAAACGCAACATATGTTATATTTCGGATTACACTTTCTTCGTAAAGTACAAATTCTAGTACCTTTTTGGGGTTGAGTCCCATCCTTGATTCGAACCCACACCCTCAGAGTCAGGCACCAAATCGCCACCACACAAAGTCAGCCGCCTAACCTGCTCAGCCACCGTGACTTCCACTGAGCAGCTTAGGCGGCTGACTTTGTGTGCTGGCGATTTGGTGCCTGACTCTGAGGGTGTGGGTTCGAATCAAGGATGGGACTCAACCCCAAAAAGTACTAGAATTTGTACTTTACTAAGTCAGGGCTATATTGTATGGATATGGCACCGATTACAAAACTGGTACTACTGGGCTCCAGAACAATACTAGATCCTGTACTTACTCAAATTATATCATTCAAATTGAGTACATTTTGTAGTTTTCTTTAGATATTCATTAGAAAAAATGCTAAAATTTCACTTCCATCATTACCGTGACGGCAAGAGGAGTAGTCTTTGGAAAGCGGAATTACAATTCTTTTTCTTGAAACATCCCTAAAATGGAAAACAGGTGAAGAAATGTAACAATTATTTTTGCAAAGTTGAAGATCATTTGCTTTTTCCTTGACTAGTTCTTTTTGAGAGATCGCTGAACCGTGTACCGTTCCTCGTTGACAGGCAGACGAAGTGAATGTTGATCATGTGATTGGACAGTAGTGATCACGTGTATTAATGAGGTTAGCGTCAGTCACGTGATTGGACCAAACCTAGTCCGTTTTCTATTGAGACAGTAGACTGGTCTTAAAACTATCCTCTCATTTGTCTTTGTATCATGTAGCGATTTCAGCTGGAATTAATCTTCAGTAGGTTAGCCTTGTGTTTAAAGTGTTCGCTCTTCACGCCGAAGACCCTGGTTGGATTCCCCACTCAGTGCGTACAGTGTCTGGTCTCCCCAGTCGTGGTATTGCTGGAATATTACTCAAAGCGGCGTAAAACCATACTCACTGACTCACCAATCTTCAGAAACTTGTCATAATAGTCGACATAAATACATACGTTTGTGAGTCTCTTTGGCTCTCATGCATGTCCCGCGACCCAGTGCCGTATATCGTTGCTTATGTTAGTCATCAATGGTTTGCCAGGTCTGCTGTTAGCTGAATGCAGCGTTTGAAGACTCTCACTAGATTAACTCTCTAACTTGATCACTATCTTTTTAGCCCAGAGTTCAAGAAGTTCAACTTTTTTGCCGTTTGGAAACGTAGACCTGTAGGAAGTGAAAAACGTATGTCCTGGCAATTCCATATTCTGACTTGCACTATAATTTATTTCGGTCCAGTGTTCTGGGGTTGAACAATTACTTTGCCTTTGCATGTGTTTGTGATGGGTGTCGCCCATGAGTCAGAGGAATGCGCTCACACTTTGCGAACCCCTGGTATCTTCACTTGTTGATAGCAATTCACAAAACAAACTTATGATATAGTGGACTGTGAATAGAAAGGTCATGAGTATTCAACCACCCTGGGGAATACCCCCAGTGTCTCTTGCTGGTTTAACAGATAAAACGGGATCAAGTGTTCACAATGGAGACAGAGTATGAATAATATTTGAAGTATGGAGAACATGGTCTGAATTCATCGCAAAGTTTCTTAACTGATCTCTCCCACCCTTTATTACTAAACAGGCTGATTGTATCCAAATTATTTTGGTTGTAACAAATTTTACAACAACAACAACAATGTGTTCGCTGACCAGGCTGGTTATCCCACAAAATGGTGTAAATATGTAGGCATTGACGTTGTCGAACGTTGACGTCATAGAAACATAGTGTCCTGAATTGATTGCAACACCAGGGAGCGTTATAACTTTTTGATATATAACACCAAGGAGGGTTGTAAGTTATTAATATGTAACGGCTCTGAGAATTAGAAGCTACTAGCATGTAACACCGTGGAGTGTTACCAGCCATTGTGTGTGTGTGTGTGTGTGTGTGTGTGTGTGTGTGTCTGTGTGTGTGTCTGTGTGTGTGTCTGTGTGTGTGTCCACCTGTAAGTGCTAAGGGTGAGTGGTGAGAGTGTGGGGGGTTAGGGATTCGCGTGTATGCCGCACACAGAAATATTCTAGCTACATGACGGCAGTCCGTTAATAATCGAATCCGGACCAGACAATCCAATGACTGACATCATGAGTATCAATATACACAAAAGGGATACTGTGACATGCATCCACCATATGTTGTGGATTAAAAATACAATAAAAACAATAAGTTCATTATTATCATTTTGGTTTATTATTTCAGAACTAAACTTTTACACAATCTGTGTATAAACACGAATAACAAAAAAACGCTCATTATGTAGGTCTACCACAAGTAATGTACATGTTATTAAACATTAAAATATCACCATAATAACAAATAGTAATAAACAAAATAGTATATTTGCACATATTATTTCCAAATATTAATGTCCATTCATAAAAATGTCTCTCTTTGTATCAATAACGTAAGATGTAGAATTAAATATAATTTTCCAACATATCTTTTTGAAAACCCAATGTGCACAGAAAACTAATCAATATTTGAACAGTTGTTCATAAGATGCCATGGACCGTATGAGACATGATATATACATAGGTAGGGTTCCATGACGTTTTGATTTAAATCTGCTCCGACGGGGGAGGTAGAGGACTGGCCATCCTTAGCTGTGTGAAAGACACACCGCATGGCGTCCAAATATATATGTCAAACATGCTTGCAAATAGTTCACAAGTTTGTATGACGTACGGTCAGCTATGAGTCGAGGCCCATGTAAAATTACTCTTCAACATCACACATTTGTTTTGAGATGGTTCCTTATAAAATGTGATTGAATTTGAATAGTTTACAACCTAAACACATACACATTATTAATGTATGTTGATCGGACGTCTTATATTGAAGACCCTTTTAAGAATTAAGTATCAGTTAACCGTTACTATTTATCACCCTTGCTGACTGTAAAGTACGTTGTTATATTAATCTATATTTCCCCCGTTATATGTATTGTATAAGTTTTAATCACTGAAATCATTGAAACACTGAAGAAAATTTACGAAAATGAAATTTGGTGAGGTTTTATGGTTTACAGTGTTTGATTAAGGTTCGATTGCATACGCCTCATTTTACATCAAGGAAGTCACTTTCTCTTTGTTTTTCGCTTGGGTTAGGGGACTTTGCTTTAATACCGAGTCGCATGTTTTGCTCTTCGTCAGCGGGTGCATTTATGTAGACAGGAATAATTTGAAGATTGACGGTTTTTGAGATGTTTAAATTGTTTTAAGGCTTGTTGTTGGTTCCACAAATATCATTTGAACATTTTAACAACAAGAGTGTTCTTCAAATTTTGCTAATTTGCATATAGGAATTTCCATCGTAATACAGAATACTGTATGAAGGAGTCACAAAGCATACACATACAACGTTTGTGTAGTAGAAAACAACATACAATCTGCAACAATAACAGTAACGTATTAATACTGTGTATACCAAGCGTGGATATCATATAAAGATGCGTGGCACAGACTATGAAAACGTATGAAATAAATGTTCTTGTAATAAATCTTTGTTTTTTCAAACGTTCTTTCAAATTTGTTTAATACACGAAACGTGAAAAGGTATGCCACAATCAAACGTTTTTTAAGCATACTCTTTTGCCGTGTACTTTTGGCTTGGATTAAACTTTTGAGTGTTCTCATTTAGGATTGCATTGCGACAACAACGAAATGCGTAACGATTATATGTACATGCATATGCTAATATGCTGATAACTATAATATGAGTATATATGATACAATGCATTATGACTTGGTAATAATTTTGTAAGAGTGTGTTACATACACGTGAAATATTACATCATATATTTCTTCATATACAATACAAATGGTGACCAGAATCCAACAGAGATCATTGCTATGGCGGTTCAACCGTCACGTTACGTCATTTCATGGTTTATTTTTTTTTTAACCAAATGTCACGTCAAGTTACGTCATATAACGTCATTCCTCAACATGTAACGTCATCTCCCTTTATACGTAACATCACAGCCAACGTCACGTCTGATCATGCCAAATAATGTCACGTAGCGTCAGACGCTTCTCTACGTAACGTCACGTCAATACGTTTTAGGGGACAAGAAACGCGCAGCACATCATCACACTTAATTACGTCATACAATGGTTTTCCAACGTCACGTCGCATAAAACTAAAAACGTCACAATCAATATCGCATTTTATCACTTCATATTACTGTCACTGTCACATGATTTATCATCCCCTCGTGACATGACGTCATGAACACGTAACGCTAACGTCACTTGTCACGCCATTCGCATGACATCACACACTCTACATCGTTAGATCCTGTATTGCCACATGACGTAACTCCACAAGATGCCATTCTCCCAAGAAATCAACCATGGTCATGCGTAAATCACCAATACATAAAAATATAGATATAATATATTATACATATATTATGTAAAAGGAACTTCTTCGCAAACACAAAGACACAAGTAATATGTTTACAGATGAATAAAAATACTTGCATTTATCGAAAACCCTCTTTACTGAAACTTGTGTCAGTGTAAAACAGAGAAACAGCATCTATACAGATAATGCCAAAGGGTAGAAGCACCATAGAGAAGGGCAGGTCACAGTAGCCTGTTAGCACCCACAATGAAGTTTGATCCATAAGATAAAGAGGATGCAAGGCTCTACGGCCGTTTCTTGTTCGGAGTTTAACATTGTGTCCAGCATCCTGTGTAGAACGGAATGACTTTAATTACTAATTACTTTAACCATATTGGGTTTAATTATACTCAGAAGCAAAAGAAACGACACCTCTCAGTTGATTTCATCAATGTTTGATCTTAAATTGAAAATATCTCAACTTCATAATATTTTGTCTTTTAAAATATACTTTGATTAAAACGTTTTGAATAATGATAAATTATGTTTTCACACAACCACTGATGGATACACTGAACACAATCAATGATATTTTCATCCATCCTTTACTTATTTCCGACAGTACAATGTATATATTATGATATTGCTGCTGCTGCTGCTGCTGTTGCTGCTGCTGCTGATGTTGCTGCGATCAGTCCCTCAGTCCATTTCGCTCTATGAATAGATCCGACACGTGTGTTTTGTTAGAATTAGGCATCGGTTCGGTTTTGATGTTCACTTTTTGATCTGACCAAGCCACACTGGTGCACGAGCCTTGTGTGAGCAGCTGGATGCTGGTGGAGCTTTTCTCATTCTGATATTTGTCCAGGGTTGTCTCCATCAGCACCTGGGATACAGAAACATGAGCGTGTTGATGAAACAGCTGCTTGAATCGTTGCCTTACATACGTGTCTCTTAGTTGAAATAATTAACTGAGTGTGAGTGAGTATTATTTTACGCCGCTTTTAGCAATATTCCAGCAATATCACGACGGGACACCTGAAATGGGCTTCACACATTGTATCCATGTGGGGAATCGAACCCGGGTATTCGGTGTGACGAGCGAAAGCTTTAACCACTAGCCTACCCCGCCGCCCCTGAAATGGCTATGGGTTAGACACCAAACATATTAATATATAGGGGAAATCTGTCTAAATCACTCGCACGTATACTGATGAAATACATACTGAAATATAATCTTCCTGTTTTCAAACGTATTAATTATTAGTTATGGTGATGCATGTAATATATTTTCAATTCCATAGTGATAACTATGGAATCCTGGAGGGACATTGTCGTATTGTCGCCCTCTCAAATACAAGCAAAATGAAGCAAAATTAACCAAAACGCGACACGCGACATCGCGACAATGCGACAAATGGGCGAAATTTCACGTTGTTGCGATGTCGCGTGTCGCGTTTTAGTTTATTTTGCCTCACTTTACTTGTTTTTGAGAGGGCGACAATGCGACACAGCGACAATGTCCCTTCTCGGATTCCATAGATAACATCAGATTCATACAATAAAATGTTTGGACGTGCATGTGGCCTCGAAGGTTGAAGTTGAAAATACTCGTTTTGCTGACATAAACATATACTCATACCGTTTGAGATCAAAATAGTTATTGACACATAATGATTTAGGGACAAATATACAGGATACGTTTATCAAGAAACAATTTCCATCTTTATTGATGGATTGGGTTGCAGTGTCAGGACCATGCTGTACGGGGGTTGAAGAATGCTGGTACACCCACTTGTGTAAGTGAAGCTTCTTTTGAACATGAATATACGACGCCATTTAGAAAGTGATGAAATGTAACATATGTTATATTTGGGATTACACTTTCTCAGTATAGTTCAGATTCTAGTACTTTTGTTGGGTTGAGTCCCATCCGAGATTCGAACACACACTATGAGTCGGGCACCTAATCGCCAGCACACAAAGTCAACCGTCTATCGCATGTGCATATATAACCGTATTTATTTCACACTCGTGTATGTTAGACAATTTGCATAACATCCAAGTATAGAAGACCTTAGTTATATAGTTTGATTTAAATGCAAAAACACAGACTGTCCACATTATAATCGTTATAATCTCACCCCCAGCCTTCATAATACATGTCATGTTCAGGAAGTCGATTAACATTGTCACCCTGTGTATTAGAAATGGTGTCAATGGGTTGTCGGGATGGACAAATCCATATGAGGGAGAGCGACGGCTGTTGCTGTTGATGGCGTGATCTAAGCTTGCACTAGGTGTCTGTAACACCCACGCACTTATCCCGGCAAGGTAGAACATACAACGTCAGTGAAAATGAGTTCATAGTCTAAACTATCATCAGAAACAATTTCCTTTAGTTAAAAGGGGAAAATAGGTGTATAAGTATATGAATAGATCACTGAGAAGTCAGTGATGACACCAGGTGTTCCAGGAAAGGGTAAGCGTGTCCTATCCCACCGGTAGCATCCGCCATATACAAAATTTCCTAAATATGAAAGTCTTTTTTGCCTGATGCCACCGGACGGTTGCCGGTAAATAAACCAGACAATCAAGTGATCGTTGAACCAGAAAGCATAAAAAACAAGTTTGATTGTCAAGCTCAAAGCGTCACAGAAAGGAAGTGCGCTACAGCAAAAATATAAACAGCTACTTCTTTGGCATCATGTAATGTAACTATAGTGAGTGAGTGAGTGAGTTTGGTTTTACGCCGCTTTTAGCAATATTCCAGCAATATCACGGCGGCGGACACCAGAAATGGGCTTCACACATTGTACCCATGTGGGGATTCGAACCCGGGTCTTCGGCGTGACGAGCCAACGCTTTAACCACTGGGCTACCCCACCGCCCAATGTAACTATAGATATATTTCTACATATCAGTGTATCTTTTACGAATGTGAAGCAAGAACAACATAGTTGATGGCTTTTGAGCTCCCACAGCATGATCAAATCTAGCGGGGCGGTGGGGTAGCCTTGTGGTTAAAGCGTTCGCCCGTCACGCCGAAACCCGGGTTCGATTCCCGACATGGGTACAATGTGTGAAGCCTATTTCTGGTGTTCCCCGCTGATATTGCTGGAATATTGCTAAAAGCGGCGTAAAACCATACTCACGCACACAGTCAAACCTAGCAAGAGAACACCTCAAATAACTGACCTGCACCAAAGCCATCTCGTCTTCACTGAGCGTTCCCCCGGACTCCAGGGACAGGAAGGCGTTGTGGAAGTCGTCCAGCATGACCGTGTACGCCACTTTGTCGTCGGACTTCTTCTTGAAGTACACCGGCAGTTTGCCTTTAGGGACAGACAACTTGGTCCGGATTTCGAAATCTATCACTTGGCATTCTTCACGTGCAAGAAGCTCGGCGTTTGCCTTCCATGACGGTCCGATCTCGATCTGAGAATTGACCTCCCAAGGAACGACCTCCTTGAACACCTCGCCCTTCATCTTACATACGTTCATCGTGTTGTCCCGCCCCGCACGGAACTTGACGAAGTTTGTCGGAAGGTTCACGTCGATGTTGACGTCGTTGCCGATGGTGTAGCAATTCTGAAGCTCTACTGCGATCCAAGTCGTCGTCTCTCGCTTGCCGCGGAATGTATGTACGTGCTTGGTCTCCGACTTGTTCTCGTACTCGCAGCCGTACAACGAGACCCAACGAGACCCGGTCGTGATCTCGCCCCATGGAGACTCCACGCAGGTGTTCGCTGGGCGCAGTGAAAACTTCATGATGTTGTGTTCAATGTTGAGACACTTCCAGTCAATGACGGGATAGTAATCCTCAGGTTCAAGAAACAGCCGCTTTACGAAATTGATATTTTTCTCCAGTTTTCGCCAGGCATAATGTCCCAATATGGTGTCAAGCTCCAGAATGTTCGCCGTCATCTTGGATTTCTGACCAAATCACACCTATTCAAACCTGAAACAAAAGTCACACATTGTAGGTACGTAAATATGACTGCATTGCCACTGGAATGATAAATCAGATTACCCATACATCTGACAAAGAAACTAAATACTACATGACGTCATTACTTTGAAGACGGCTGTGGGGTGGCCCAGTGGTTTATAATTAAGCGTTCACTCATAACGCTGAAGACCGCCGATTCCCCACATGTCATAGGTTCAACGTGGGAAGTCCATTTCTGTTGTCCATCTCCCCTACGTTGCAGGAATATTTCTAAACGCGGCGTAAAACCATACTCACTCACTACTTGCAAGAATCAGGTTCGTGTTCTTCTGGCAAGTTTATTTAAAATGTTCAAAACGCACTTTGTGCATCTTCCAACTCATGTTGTGTATATAGTAAATAGAAAGTAAACGATTACTCAATTTACAAAGACACAGGGTAGTTTGGAGTATGAGACAGACTGGCATGTCTAAGGTCCCAGCGATACAGAGCGAATGTGGTTCAGCTGATAACGATAGTGATTCACGTGAGCCAATTCCATGATGGGCTAACTATTGTCAATTCATTAACTCTGCTGGACTCACAACGTAGTCATACAACATACTGAAACCGGGAAATGAACGACAGTTGGTCTTAGTATCCATCTAGGCGAGGTCACCACAACTGCCAATATGTATACAGTGGACTCTGTATAATCCGACACTCACTGGGACCGGGCAAAATGTCGGATTATACAGAGTGTCGGATAATTCAATGTCTCCTTGCTTGAATACTTTTCAAACAGTGCCATACATTGAAACTGTCTTATATCATGAAATTAATGGTTAACAGCTATTTGCTTGGTAAATAAAGGGGAAAAACAAATTCTGTATTTACATGACTTTTTGTGCATGTATATCATTCGATTTATTATCTTCAGTACAATATACATACATGTACTACTATCACAATCATATTCAATATTAATTGATCCCTTGTCTCAGCCCATTCATCCTATGCTTGACAAAACATACCTAGGTCCTTCATTGGCAAAGGTACAGCGTTCTAAAACATAATTACCTCCCAATTAGAAAGTGCGGAGATTACCAGTAACAGTTGTCAACTGGCCATTGGCAGGTTGATTGTCTATTTTAGTCCAATATGGGGAGAGGATGTCGGATTGTACAGATTAATGGTGTCATTGGGACCAGAAAATGGTGTCGGAATTCGGAATGTACAGATGTCGGATAATTCAATGTTTAAATGATGATAATATAGAAGAACGCTGCCGGGACCCCCAAAATATGTCGGAATTCACAGATTGTCGGATAATTCAGATGTCGGATTATACAGAGTTCACTGTATACGATTTCAAACTGCAAAATCTAATTCTAAAGCATCTAACTCGTCTGCCTACGTCTATACCAACTTCTGTGCATGAATAGCTGATAGTGATTAAATGTAACTTGACTATTCCCTCCCTGAGGTACGACTTAGGCAGAGACCAGTTGATATTGGCAACATACATCGTGTTGTCTATAATAGCATTTGGAGTGTCCTACAATCATTATCATGAGACTGACTATGCATATATTCATTAACCATTCGCACAGATTCATAAATAGGTTGTATCCGTAAAATAGTCATGGTCAGATCTTCAGCAACCCATGTTGTCGTAAGAGGGAACTAATGTGATCGGGTGGTCGTTCTCACTTACTTGTTTGATGTTTGACTTGCGAAGATCGATGCTGTCATGAGCATGTTATTTGTGTATATCATTAGATATTACTAAAACTAAGGCCTGCATATTTTTATGAACGTTATAGTAGAAAATGTTTATATAAATACTATCTAGGAATATATTTGAGTTTACCATAAACAGTAGGCACTTCATGTTTTGTATGTAAAGCAGTTATACGTTTCTATCGTAATAGATCTTCATCAAATATTCCTCAGTGATAAAGTTGCAAATACGTTTAGACTAAATCGTCCCCGTGGACCTTCTTCAGCTTCATATATGTGCATGTAAAAGTCAATGTACAGGAAGGTGTAGCTGTAAGAGGTTGAACCTGTTGTGTACTTCAACATGTGGATGTGGACCTGAAGCATGTTCTGGTGGTCTTGACATTGACTATCATGTCAACTGGGAATACTCTATGACTATCAAGAACAATAGATACGAATTGATATGAAGGAAATGTTGCTTGCATTATGATGACTTGATTGACTCATCTCTCTTTGATGTGCAAAGAAAGACATCTGGAATAATAGAATTATACATTTAAGAGCTATCTGTTATGTTGTGTGATTTTACTGATAGTCCAACAGTATCTTCGACATATTTGGTATTGTTGATACGATGTAAAGCATGGAGCTGTTACTGTTTAACAGACATTATGTAATATTTTGCTGATCTAAATTCAAAGTAACAACTTTTGTTTCCTTGTAATGGTTTTTCATGCATACAGTGCCAACCATTCTTCAAATGATATTGCTGAATTAGAAAAACATAATTTTAATAAAATAACCTTTAATTTGTAAAGTTTAACTCATATTTTCCCATCAAATGAACTTTCTATTAAAATTGACATTTGACCTTACCAAAATATTTGTTTGCGATTAGCATAATATGTAATATTATTGCCCACAATTTTAAATCATGATCTGAACATTCCAAAACTACCAAAATCGGTCAGTCCAAACCAGAGTTATTAAATTAAACCATCAAGTTATCTGTTAAAATATTAACTGAAATGATATATTGCACCCCTGCAAGGTAGTCACGCACGGCAGCTGATGACAACCGGCTTAAATCAAAGCTAAATCATTCCTGATTGTGAAAAATCACATCCCATTCGGTCACCAGAACTACACCACATGGCTTCCAGGCCACTGTGGTTGTTTTTGCTGCTGCTGTAACTATTACTACTACTGATGATGATGGTGATAATGATGACGATATACAGACTGCTTCTGATACTGTTCTGCCGTTACTATACCTTGCTACTGCCCTGCAGCTACTATACCTACATGTGTACTGCCCTACAGCTACTACACCTTTTGTCACTATCATTATAATTACTATCATTGTTACTGCAACACAAACACTGCTTCTACTACAACAACTACAACTACCGGCACTTGTACTGACAATGCAGCATCTAATCCCTCCACAGCAGTGGCCGCTGTTACCAAGTTAACAAAACCCCTCACCTGTAACCAACACATCTAAAGCGAGAACATAATTAACCTATAAAACATGTGAATTTTTGCAATACTACTTTCAAAAAGGGCAAATTACTCGACATGGAAGTAACATCTGTCCACATCAGCGACGTGGTGAAGCCAAGCGACTTGGTTAGAATATGACCAGAGCATACGTCGTACTTAATTAACAACATCGTCAGCATCATCTACAGTGTCCATGTACACTACGAAAACAGCTGACTCAGCAATCAATACGAGGCCATCGCTCTACGCTAGGGAGCATGGGGACTGTGTCCTTCATTGTCACTGAAACACCTGTTGCGTGTTTCATATTCACATCCTGAAATAGCACCTGCAATAGGTTTGAAGTATTACACATAAAATATAACAACCCGCTTTCATCGCCACTGATTCATTACATTCTTTAATCGACACACAGTAGAACTAATCTATCAATATACTAACTGGTGTTTTGTGGTGTCTTTAAGCGATTGAAAATAACCAAAGCGTCGGTTAAATAAATATGTCACATTCCTGATAAAATTACTACTTTCCTAATAAAGTCACTAAATATTTAATGTGGACTAGCGCATTGATGCTTAAAATCATTGATGGGCATTTTTTAAAACATGAAGACAAGAAAGGTTTACGGAGAACAACATAATCGTTTGTTTCAGGGCTACTTCTTTCGCCTTCAGCAGGTGATTCGACCGATGAGGAGCAAAGAAATTGCAACGTTTACCCAGGGAGAATAGAAGATTAGATTATCCCTGGTTTACCTATGCTTGTCGTTCGAAACGACTGGGTCTGTTGGTCAGATTCGAGGACTTGGTTGGCGTCTTGTCAACGGATGAAACGGGAAAAATACCCGTTACAAGTTATCCTTATGGTTTGACATATTCACGTTATGAGCGAGTTGTTACGTAAGAAGTTTCTTAGGTACGCCATTTTCCATTCTAACTATTCCAACTACACGACGATGGTGTTTGAAAAACTGTGCCTGGACTAGATATTGTGATCACGCGGAGGGGATCAGATGAGACACTAACATCGCTGTCATGACCACTAAATTCAGTCGCTTCGTGCGACAATCGTGTATTTGCCGGAGACCAATCTCGGGAGTAAAAAATTAGGCAGCGGAAGCTTCAACGTTTAGGGAATGTAATACGAGAGGTGATTTCAGAGCAGTGCCTATAAAAGTAACAGTGATTGTTTGATAACATTTTAATGTTTTAATTGTGAATTAAATTATGTTTAGAGTATTGACCGTCGTGCGTCTCTGGATGTATGAGAATGAAAAAATAGTGTACCCCTGGCAGAGACACTTGAGTCCAGTGTGCGAAATAGCCACTGGCCCGCAAGCCCGTGGATAGTAACAATCCAGTCGGGCCAGTAAATCTTCACAGTCACTGGCCCGACTGGCTAGTGAATTTCCATGGGGGTCACTTTTTAAATACATCACTCTCTCCGACTTGTTAAGTTATAATACACTTTTAAATAATGCAAGATTATGACCTGATAAATAATGGTATTTTACCTTTTTGTAATCTTTTGCTTAGTTTTCACATTCAAATTTCGGGCTAGTGAATTATTTTTTGGGCTAGTAACTTTCAGGAATTGTTAGCCCGACTAGCTATAGCCAATTCTGGAAATTATTTCACACACTGCTTGAGTCCCTCTAAATTGAGATATAAATATCCACTAGTGGTGTAATTCCTTAATTATAGGTGTTGTTGTTTCTCAATTAGCATTCATACAGCCACCGAGGACCAAAGTAATGCCCTAAGTCCCCTTGGGAACCATGCATTAAGGACCATTGTAAGTGCCCGTGATCCCCACTGAGCTGATCCGTTCTGGTTGCTCGTAGTAAATAACCTAGTTTTAATTGATCTCAAATAATCTACTTTAATAGTTTTGTCTTAATTTTGTTTGTTTTAAGATTTAACAGTTATATATCTTACGGCTTTTCTGTTCTTTTTCAACAGGTATTTAATGATAATTCCAGCACGACATTGTGTGATACTCGATTCTGATTGGCTGAGAGCTCATCAAAACCGTATAAATGGCAGTTTAAGGACCGCTAATTAAAGTGATCGATTGACCGCGCATGAATACAATGAACTCGTTGACCCTTTTGTTTGTAAACAAACATGTCGGATATCGGCGATATCTTTGATTTATCATCGCAATATGGCTGCAATGTTCGACAGGATGTAAAATGTCAACTTACTCACTAAAATGAAATCGGAAGTAGTGTATCAACATATCCTGAAGCAGAACTGTTGACATGATGTTCCACAAGTCCCTGTGACTTACACGAATGTTTTGTCCACAGATAACTTTAAAGGAGATATTGTCTTCTGTATTGGAAAAGCAACAAGAACTGCCCGGAGGAAGACTGTGACGCCATCATTTTACGTTACGTCATTACACATTACGTCATCAATAATGTAGGTGACGCAGATTGAACATTGTTACGTCATAAACATGTCGATAGTAAAGGACAATAAATTATTTTCTAACACGAACTACACTAAATAATATGTAGTGAGTCAGTTTGGTTTTGAGAGATACCAGAAATCGACTCCACACATTGCAAACATGTCGAGAGTCGAACCCGTGCCTTTAGCGTGACAAACGAATGCTTTGGCCATTGGGCTACCCGATCGTCCAACAACAATGCAAAACACAAAACACAAAATAGTGTGACGAAACCTCACACTACATACGGCGCACTAAAATAAACACTAAATTTAACACTACACGATCACACCATGAACTGAGCCATCCACTGTAGTATCCATAACACTAATGAGAGTACGTTATGAATACATCGAGTAAAAAGATTTAAAACAACGAAAACGTATATTATATAAACTATACAGGAAAACCTGCATTAAACGCTGCACCTGTTACAACGTGATATCCGACACCACTCAAACAGCTGCAGTATCAATACTGACAATACTGTAACAACGATGTGGATCCTAGCACGAACCGCGAATACCTCCCATACACACTGACATTTATATGTATGGAATGTCAATGATAGGACTAATTATAGGCTAGTGTTTAGTTCCTGGTAACAATCAACGGACTATAAAGCGTCGAATCTCTGATAATGAGGTTAGTCAACACAAGTTAGTTGTTACACGCAGGTCGTATGGCGCCAGACATAACTTGGTTTTCGTTTGTTGACTTTTGTTTTGTTTCTTATGGTTTTTTCAGTCAGGAATATCACGCCGACCTGTAAATAATCGAGACAGACCAAAGAAATCAGCTTTCCCCTCCGGGTTACCGTGACACGCAATTATTCTTAATGACCAATTTAGTCACGTTTTATGATAGGCAATAATGATGGGTCTGTTAGTGGAGAATTTAACAGAGAATAGATCGGTTTAATTGTTATATAAAAACGTGAATACAACATACATTTGACAGTAACACCGACAATAATGTTTCTGAAGGATACAGATATAATTTGCTCCGGATAGCTTTTAAAACCATTCAAGCATTTGCCAGAAACACGCAAACTGAAAAATGAAAAGTGATTAAATAGTGACTAATGATATGACGTCTCAATTGTGTATAGGTTTTATACGACCTCCCCTCTTAAGGACGGTATTTACAGTAAGAGGCGACTAACGAGATCGGGTGGTCAGGTTCGCTGATTTGGCTGACACATGTCATCGTATACCGATTGAGGAAACGATGCTCATAATCACGCGATTGTCTGGTCCAGACTCGATTATTTACAGACCGCCGCCATTGCTGAATGACAAACAAACAAAAACTTGTTTCCACAAAGCAGAAATACAAGAGCGTTCTTTCGCAAGGCAAGGAAGTGACCGGAACCTGCCTTCAAGTACTGTGTTCATCTGGCGAATCGAACCCTATGTTTCGATATGCTGATCCAACGACTTTACTTTGGGATACCCCACTGCCTGCTTTTAAAGGCAAACCAGTTTGACTGGTATGTTCCACAACTGAACACTGAACCCCATTCTTTTCTAATCTTACTCATTATGTTCCCTGTGTTAAGAGACATTGTACATCTGAAAGGACTTCATTGAAATGCGAACAAGAGGCCAAACTGGGTCATTCTGAATGAAATTTGTTGGGGATTGTTGCTAGAAATGAACAAGGAGATGAGATCGACTGAAATGTTCAAAGACGAGGATATAAGCTACCAAAATACACATATAACTGAATAAAGGGGAGTTCTAACATGTATGACAGTATATTCAAATTCAGAGCGTATCGACCAGACAGATCATAACAGTTGTTTGTGTTTCATAATTATTTTGCCATGTCGCTGACGATTCGTTTCACATGGAAGCAAATCACCATGCCATCCAACTCAAACTGTAATTATATAGTAACATATTTATGCAATGATCAATGAACATATATAGTACACTTTATATGAATCTAGTGGACCATTGGGGTTGTCTCCCTTGCCTATGGTTTGTGACACTGGGGCGTCATGGATATATTTTAGTCTTGCAGATATGTTATACATGCTTGGCAACACGTCATCCGAAACCGTACTATCTCTGCTGACAAAGCTTTGGAATTCCAGGATACGAAAGCTTCCTATTTCATATTACGTTTTTCTCCTGAGCGGTATCCATTTTATTTATATTTGGCTTTAATGTTTAATGTTCCATCTGTTCGGCATTTTGTCCAGTAGATTCTAGGGGATTCTGCAATTATGTTTACACCTGTCTGGAACAAACCACTTCATTTCATGTGTGTAATTCATGATACGTGTATATCTTCGCAAATTCATGACGAAGAGTTTGCTTTCAAGAATAAAACATCATTATACGAGGTTCGATCTTGAACGAACGAACGACCGACCGACACACCCAACAACCAATCGGCCAATCAATAATAGGACAAACAACCAGCCAGCCAACCAACCAATCAATCAAAATGGAATCAGAAAGATCACATATCGCGTACGAGCCAATCAGATCATATGCATATGTTATGACCATCCAATCCTCATTTCAGACATACCAAGAGATGATGACCCACAATCCCCCGACCTAGATATGGACATGTATAAGGACAGGGGATGGTGGGCTAGAATGGGCTAGTGAGTATGGTTTTACGACGCTTTTAGTAATTTTCCAGCAATATCACAGCGGGGGAAACCAGAAATGGGCTTCACACAATGTGCCCATGTGGGGAACCGAACCCGGGTCTTCAGTGTGACGAGCGGACGCTTAACCATTAGGCTACCCCACAGCCCCTAGTGTCTCGAGGGGTGGTGTGACGAATTACAGGGAATGGATGGGTGGGTTGGTCCTTTACACTTATTCAAGACACGGTCAGTGTTAACACGGGTGTAGATAAGGTCATTTATGACCTGGGGTGTTGGGTATTCACGTTATATTACAAATGATAGTGATATATAAAGCTGTGCTCTCTGGAGGCTGTGTTATACAAGCTGTTGAGATTTGACAGCCTGTGTTTCCGGATGACCGATCAGACTGTTCACAGAGGCAGAGATTTAGGAGCTGGAAGAGCAGTATGTAGGCTGGAGCGACATACTTTCATCTTTTCATAAAACAATGTTCACATCGTGACCGACTGTGACACGTAGACACACATGACAGTCCTACCTAAGGACAAATAGACTAAGATAACAGTAAAAGACTTAAATAGAGTATTTTTAAATGTTTCATGGCATTGGATGCATTTCAACGTAATTTCTCACCTATAAGATTAAATAATAAAAGTTCAAGGTGGATTTTAATCCGTTGCTTGATAAATGTACAACCAGCTGTACCAAAACAAACCATTGAAAACATAAAGAAGGTGAACTCGGTGCTTCAACAAAAACTTCATTGATACCACTCCTTCTAACTGCCACTTAAGATGAATAAAAAGATATATGAAATGAAAAATGAAAATTCGTATAGAAATGAAATAGTATAGTATTCATTGTATGAATAGATAAATGAATAGATAAATGATTTCCACACACAATAGAATATAATGTGCATCGACCTGTGTCGCATGATATCAACTATTACCATATATTACCAGTTATACTATCGTATATTGCAGGAAATCCGGAAAATATAGAAATTGTAACTGAAATACGATGCAATTATACACTGTATATAGGAGGTTCTTATATTCCTCGCCTGAAAACAAACTGGAAATAGCATATTATCCCACACATGTTACAAGCATAAACTATCGTAATTGACTAGTCAATCCGTTGATCAGGAGAGTCTTAATGTCAGTGAGAATTCGTTGACACGAGGTTAGATACAGCGTTGACATTTCCACCGACAACTTCGTGCACGACTGCAGTCTATCAGTTCAGACTGGCAGTGATTCATGAATATTCAGATTATGTACATGATGTTTAAACATACATTTAAATATATGCATATGTTGATACAGCATGTTCTTCAACAATCGTTAATATATTCTTCGTGACTATATTTAACTTTATAATGAAGCATCCCGCTGTCCACATCTGTAGCATACATCAGTGTTCGTACTGCAGTGCTATGTAACATGCACTCACATATGTTGGTACTTGTGTAGTAAGTAAACGGATCTCACCTGTTGAGAACAAGCCTTGTCAACCCAGCGGATGACTCTTAAAATCCAAGTCGGCTTTCACCTAGCAGTCCACGTGCAATTAAAACTACCCCACTCTCGAAAGACGCTGCTTCAAAATCGCGTTCAATTAACTGGATTTGTGCGCATGCGCGTCATCTGTGTCGGCCTCAGCGGGATTTAATACCTACGTTTATATACATCTGGCGTATTGGATGAAAGTTATAGTTTGTTTCATTGTTGGAAAGTATGCTGTGGTTTATTGACTAGTATGTTTTGAAAAGATCGATATGGTGTAGGACAGGGATACATTTTACTTCAAGTCTCTTTAAGGAAAAGCGAAGGGAAAGTTGACAACCATGTATTATCTACTAAAGTGCCTGTCCCTTGAAGTAAATTAACTGGAAACGTTAATTAGTAAATTACAATATTACTCATGGGTCAACTATTGATTTTACTAGCATTTAATGTGTGAAAATACCAGCCACTAGATTTACTGCCAGTCCTTTTTTGACATTTTGTTCTATTTTTTCGTATTTTAAGTATCTTTCAGTTTTATTACATATTTATTTAATATCACAAAAGGTTTCTCAAGTATCACAGTCATATAGGAATTATTCCTAGCGTTGTGAAGAAACTAACGTGTCTCTTATACTGTTTTCTTTTTCAGGATGAATGTCGGAAGAAATACTGGTTTTTCAAGCAAGCGATTGTAGAACAATTAAACGCAAACTTGTTTAACAGGATTTCTGTCGGCGAGGCGTTGTATTGTATCCCGTCGGCAATTAACCAACGCCCAGAGGGTGTTTAACTAAAGGCGGATTACAAGAACAATTGCAATTACACGTGGGCTCTGATCGCCTTCAGTTTCGACACAACTTTATTTGAAAGGAAAGTCCAGTTCTAACACGTTTCCACTGTAACGAAACCAGATAATGCGGCTATGTTACCTACACTCAGGAGAAAATCACAACGATATATAATGGAGAGCTTTTGACCTCAGGATCGGGCGCTATTGACCACCCGTGTCCCTATATATTATTATGTACAACATAAACGAAACTCCACTCAAGATGTGGACATGTCTGTCCCTATAGAAGTGTTATATCAAGCATGCCTCAGGATCGGGCGGCATTGACCACCCGTGTCCCTATATATTATTATGTACAACATAAACGAAACTCCACTCAAGATGTGGACATGTCTGTCCCTATAGAAGTGTTATATCAAGCATGCACTGTATCAGTATGAGTGACGTTTTTAAAAGTACTTTGTGGTAAATTACATGAATATACAGTTACAATGACAAAATAAACAAAGTCACTTAAACATACAGCCTAACACTTGATAGTTTGTCCCTGTATCGCCTGTTGTTTGTTTGTTGTTGAAGCCGCACTCCATATTTTTCAGGTATGTGGCGGCAGCCTGTAAATAACATAGCCTGGACAAGATAAAATTAATCTTTGATTTATATCAAAACACTAATCTGTCGAGGTTCGATAGTACGCTGTCAACCAAATCGTGGATCAAATTTAGTCACCACCTACGACCATCAGGTTACGTATGGGTCTGGTTTTAACCCCATGGGTGGTGCTCCACTATGGGGATTAGTGGTCAGATGGGTTCCTCATCAGCTCAAGCTTCTCCGAATACGTCGACACTAAACGTGTAGCGACGTTGAAACTAACGTCAACATGACGTTGAAGTGCTAACGTCAGTTCATTTGTCATAGGGGGCGGTGGGGTAGCCCAGTGGTTAAAACGTTCGCTCGTCACGCCGAAGGCCAAGGTTCGATTCCCCATTAATCTGGTGTCCCCCGAAGTGATATTGCTGGAATACTGCTAAAAGTGGCGTAAAACTAAAACTCGCTCACTCACTCACACAATTTCATAGAAAACAAATGTGTAAATTTCGCGAACACCTGGTATCGCTTTTTTATAGTGATTCATAAGCACAAGCTCATGATATAGTCGGAATTGTACAATCGACTCAACTTTTAGTAGAGATTTCATGCGGATGCGGAGAGGATATGAATGCTTTTTATTCAACGTTGGGGAATAACCTTGCATCAACGTTGCAATACTGTGGTATTTGGGTATCTGGGGAATGTCGTATGTTTTAAATTGGTTGACGTCACATATTATCCCCTGGGCAAAGGGGGATCGCAGTACACAAATATATATGTGAGTAAGTGAGTGAATATGGTTTTACGCCGCTTTAAGCAATATTCCAGCAACATCACGGCGGAGGTCAGCAGAAATGGGCTTCACACATTGTACTCCTATGGGAATCGAACCCGGGTCTTCGGCGTGACGAGCGAACGCTTTAACCACTAGGCTACCCCACCTCCCTCCTGCTTTGAGAGGCAACGATTTATTCCTGCTTCTCTAACAGATTAGATTAATTGTAATATATTTTCTTTATTCAAGTCCGTAACTTCACAATTCTCTTGACGTGACTCAAGTCTCTAACAGTGGTTCACTGCCTGTATCATCCCGAATTTTCAGTTATCCATTCAAATAACTGTCCTCGCTAGTTGGCCCAGTAGACGAAACTGGCCATTGCTCAAACGCGTGTGCTGCTTAAATACTGTTGACTACGGCGTTCAGCAACATTCACTCATAGACATTGTGTGTTTGTTTGTTGTTTACGCTACATTCAGAAACATTATGACGTAGTTGTGTTCCGATTAATTGAAATAATCGAAGATTGATCGCAGTGACCAAACGACCAAGCAATCGATCACATTTTCTCATAATCGAACATAAACGATTTTGGAACTACTGTTTTAGTCTTTGAAATACTTGACAATGGAACATATCGTTGAAGTTGTCAGGGCATGAAAACGTGTTTAATTCTTAGAAAACTCACTTCACTAACTGAAAAGCCATGACTGAATATTTCTTGAAGACTCCGGGAAGTTTATGTTCATGATATATTAGTCATCACTTTAAAGTAGCAAGTTGCATCATGTTATAAATATCTGCAATAACAACCTGGATAGGAAAATCTGAAAAATGACGCTAACCAAATTTTTTCGATGATTGTTCGTTGGTAATGAAACAATCATCAATTGTGAGATTTCAACCAATTCCCAACACTAGCTACAGTCGGTGATGAGGGCGTTGAATCTCGCATGCATAGGTAGCATGTTTGTGACCACTGGTGCGACTTATCTAGACTCGATGATTCACGGAGTTTATTGCGGCGTAAAACAATCTTCATTTGGATGCTCCCATTGTGAATAACGACAATGCATGCTATGACATGTGCTTATCGTAATAGTGCCACGAACCCGTCTTCATCATTGATTTGAAAATCGATTTTTCATTTGCCACCCACTGGACAGACCTTAGTTCAAGTACTGTCGCTGTGAGGTAAGGATATAAGGGGGTCAGGGGGTATTCTACAGAAAGTCCCTGCTGAAAAGGTATTCTACGAAATCAAAGCCCAGTAAAACAGCATGATGACGTCACGTGAGATATAGTACATGTGGACATGAAGAAACTCGTTAACATACTTCTGTCGGGACTCGGATTTAGAATTACTTCCCATCATACTAATGGTGGTCGTCTGGCGACAGAGCTGGATCGAGTGGACAGGCTTGCTTACTTGATTTGATTGTGTGCTTCTACCTCGACGGCGCGAGACGTTGCTCATAGTTTTAACCATTGTTATGTCTGACCCAGACTCGATGATTTACATTCCGCCATGGTGTAACGAAAATGATAATGTAAAACAACAAACGAAAAAACGAAATTAGCAATACAGGTCAGTAATAAATCACGTCACGCTTCAGCTAGTGTTGACGATTTGGCACACGTTAATTCAGTTGTTCATATATTTCATGGCAAACCAAGCCATCTGCTGCCATGAATGTATTCATACCTTGTAATGCTGTTTACCGTGCAACTGCATACATATCATAATTCATGCACTGTCAAGGTATATTACAGTAATGTCGGTTGTTGGGAAACAAGAATATATGTTGTGTATATTCTACCTTACAACCATTTTGAAAACGTTTGATCAGACGTCTTATATTTTCTGCCAGATGTAAGTTGCAAGTTAGTTGGTTTGTTGTTAAACGCTACACCCAGCAATATTCCAGCTATGGAGGCAGTCTGTAAATAATCGAGTCTGGACCAGACAATAAAGTGATTAACATCATGAGCATCGTTTTCGCAATTTGGAACCGATGACATGTGTCAACCAAGTCAGCGAGCCTGACCACCCGATCCCGTTAGTCGGCCCTTACGACAAGCATGGGTTGCTGAAGACCAATTCTTCACGGGTATGCAACTAAGTAGCAAAATCTTCTGGTTCCATACTTGATGAATCCTGTAGATAGAAGTTCATAGAACTAGTCGCGTCAATGTACTGGAACTCTCGTGTCAAGTGGTGCCAAATGTTGAGTGCCAAACTAGATGATTCATGACGATGATACTGGAAGTCTCGTAACACTGATACTTGATGTCTTAAGCCGATGATACTGGAAGTCTCGTGACACTGATACGACATGTCTCAAGCCGATGATATTGGAAGTCTCGTGACACTGATACTAGATGTCTCAAGCCAAGTGTACTATATGTCTCGTGCCAGTTAGACTTGATGTCTCGAGCCATTTAACGATATTCCACACGTCTCTTGTCAGTTCATATTGAATATCAGATGTCAAGTATACAGAACATTTCATTTCAAAATAATACCATTAGCTGGTTCAGTACATAGGCGGATCCAGAGTGGGGTGCTCCCTTTTGTTCTGAAAGTTTGTTCAATGACCATTGAAACTCGGGTGAAAAAAGCTGCATCTGCCCCTGCAGTACATTAATAACGGACAACGTGATTCATAGGAAAGTATACGAATAGAAAAAAATGTTTTTAAGAGAACAAAGTTTTAAGTTGCGAGGCAGTTAAAAACACGCAGAGTAAATTCTCTTGTGAATATAATATATATTTTGAAAAGATTAAAATACACTTATTATTATGAAACATGCAGCATGTTATACACACAAGGTTATCAAGTTGTGCTACTTAGATGCAGCACACTTTCATCCAGGCTATTTTGCTCCTTGAACATAAGGGGCGGTGGGGTAGCCCAGTGGTTAAAAAGTCGCTCGTTCGCTCGTCATGGGTACTGTGAAGCCCATTTGACGAGC